GGCTGTTCTTCTGCCCGCCTCGAGGCCCCTCCTCGGTGGCTCCCAGGGACCACTCTCCACCCAGCAGCCTCTCCAAGTGTCAGTCACTTACCCAGACAGAGAACTCAGGGGTCTGGGGACCACTTTTTTGCCAGGTGTCGTCATGGCTGTGGGTCAGGTCCATGCCCCCAAGGCCGGCCCACACCATCTGCTCTGTCAGTGTTTACACAGAGCTCCGCCCGCCTGGTGTCAGCCCCGCGCCCGCTCCCAGGGAATTGGAACTAACTTTCCTTCAGCCCCACAGTGGCTGTTTCCAAGGACACTGGGCATACTGCACTCTCTGCCTTCACTTGGAACCTACCAACTTTCTTTACTTTTTTAAAACTCTGAGTCCTGAAAGCCAAAAGCTCTGGGATCCCCAATACAGGCAGAGACCTTGGTGGGAAAATTGGTTTTCTGTCACTTATCAGGCTTCTCACACATCAGAAAGAGGCCTTGGGGACCAAGGTTGTACCATCAGTGACCCACCAGGGACACTTTTGGAGCTGGCGGAGGGCAGCATCCAGCCTGGGAGGCAGGAGGCCTGCGGTCAGGGCAGCCGGGGCCTGGCCACTGGGACCCTTCCAGAGACAGCGCAGCACGGAGATGCGCCCTCGTCCTGGGCTCTGTTCCGTGGACGCTCCTGGAAGAGCCCCCTGCAGATGTCCCTGCAACAGGGCTGGGGGCCCAGTGATGCACCTGCACAGGCCCAGCCTGGGAGGGGCCAAACCAGGACACCTGCCCCAGGGAGAGCTGTGCCCAGGCCTGGGGCAGGGGGGCTGTGGCCACCAGGTCCAGGGGGGCTGGGTGTCATCCTTCAGGGCTAAGGCTCCACAGAGGCCCTCAAGCAGGAGGAGAGCAGTGCAGTCAGATTTCATACTAGAAAGTTCTTCAGGGCAGTGTGTGGGAGAGACTGGGGCTATCAGTCAGTCCAGGGAAGGCCATGGGCATGATGCCCTGGTGGTTTAGCTGCAGGGCCCACTTGATACGCCCACTCCTCCTGCCAGCTCCCGATTGTCCTGATCCCAGGGTCCACATGACCCAGGCCTCCTGCCCTCGGCAACCCACTAACTCCCGTCCTGCATGTTGAGAAGGAAGAGCTTCATTTTGTTCTAAGCTGTGCCTTCCGTACCTTTATCTCTTTCCAGCTTTGCTTTGCATTGTGGTGTTTTTAATCCATGCGGATGTATGGGGTGGGATTTGCCTTGTGTTTGTCTCAGCTCAGCAGGACCCCCAGGTGCATGAGGGCCTGGGCATAGTCTGCAGGGATGGCCACACTAGAAAAGTTAGCCGGAGGCTGGGGGACAGTGGGGAAAGGGAGCTGGAGGGCAGAGAGGATGAAGACCTGCAGCCTCAGGCCTGGGCTTCAGCCCCTGCTTGCTACCAGCTGCATGGCCCTGTGCAAGGTCTGCCCCTTGCTGCGCCTCTGCTTCCTCCTCTAAGATGAAGACGCTATCCCCTACTTTACGAGGTTGCCCTGTGATTAAGACTGAGTATGGAGTCGGGTGTGGTGGCGCATGCCTGTAGTCCCAACTACTCGGGAGGCTGAGGCAGGAGGATCGCTTGAGTCCAGGAGTTTGAGGTTGCTGTGAGCTAGGCTGACGCCACGGCACTCTACTCAGGGCAACGGAGTAAGACGCTGTCTAAAAAACAAAAATTCATAATTTAAAAAAAAAAAGACTGAGTATGGGGGCCACAAAGAGCTCCCAGAAGAGACCCAGGATGGGGTCGGGGGGGGAGGGCATCCAGACTGGGGACACCCAGCAGGACGTGGCCCTGAGGAGGCCATTGGAGCGCGAGGGCGGCAGGTGGACTGCGGGGGCAGGCACTCTTGTGCACGTGGGTCCTGGGAGCAGCACAGCAGGAGCTGGCGGGAGGAATCGGGCAGCCAGCGCAGCTCCCGGGGAGACTGACGGCAAGGGCCGGAGCTGCACCTGTGACAGGGGCCGAGGCCCCCACTGGGAGCCTCCAGGGCCTGAAGCCCCAAGACTTTGGCATGGCCCCACTCCCTTCTCCTGGGGCGCCAGGCCATCGCTTTGACGTCCAAACCTTCAGCCGACCACAAGGCTGATGGCCAAGAACACTTAGATACCAATTTTAGAATTGCCCTGGTTTCCTCCCGCCAGCAAGGCCCTGGCCGCAAGTCTTCCACAGTGGCTGCTCTCACGTCATCTGGGGAATTGGCAGATCGGCTGTTGAGGTTCAGGGCAGTGTGGGGGCCGAGCCAGGGAAACCAGCGGTTTACCTCCTGACCGGGCAGGCGGGTCGCCAACTCCCAGCCACGTTCAGAGCTGTGGAAGGAGAGATTGCTCTGCTGGAGGCCAGGAAAGACTTTCTGGAGAAGAGTCAGCTCTCACAGGCAGAGACGGCAAGGAAGAGCATTCCAAGCCGAGGGAACAGCCCAAGCCAAGGCATGAGGGTGGGAAAGATGCCAGAGAGCTCAGGGGGTGACAGGGATGCAGAGTGACCAAGCGGCAGGAGCTGTCCCAGCCAGTGGAAGCCCAGAGGGGTGGGGACAAAGCCACGTGAAGGCTGTGAGGGCAGCCACAGTCAGGGGTGATGAGAGATGCTGCGGCCTGAGCTCCCGTCCTCCTCAGCCCCCTGCAGGGTCCCTCCTCCCACTCTGCCAGCTGTCTCTGCCTGCATGGCCCTCCCTGCACACTGTAGATCCAAATGCTCGAATGCTGCCGGCTCCGGGTAGCTCTGCCTAGTAGCCCAGTCCCCCAGGACACACCGTCCCGGCTCCGAATGGGCAGAGCCTTTATCTGCCCTGCCTTCCCCCTTTCCACATTGAATTATATGCATCTGCGCACACGTCACCTTTCTTGTGCTATTTCCCTGGGTTGACTTAGCACACATTTTCCGGGCACGTGCTCCATGCCAGGCCTCGTCCAAGCACTAGAAACACGGGATCAGACCCTTTCCTGACTGCCAAGGAAGGCTTGGTAGACCACACGCTGTTAACAATACATCATGCCGTATGCGACAGTTAGGATGTATGTCTGGGAACAGGGACAGATGGCCTGGCTCTGGGAAGTAGAGAAGCCTGGGGGGCTTCGTGGTTGTGTTACGGCAGAGTTGACCGGAATAGACCGAGCCGCACACAGCAATATGACAAAACAGGTTTATATGCGCCGGCGGGCTCAGAGGGGAATTTTTCCTCCCGAATTCTGAGCCCCGAATAAAGAACGCATCAGTCTTTTATACATGTTGCTTGGGGCACAGTTAATGAGTGAGAAAGTGGGGCACAGTTACAATGAGGTCGTTCTTTAGTGGGGGCAGGGTCCGGAGCACCCTTAGTTCCAGGTACAGAGTTCCTGTGGAACGTCTTCCTGTCTTATCTCACCTTAGCAGGAGTTGTTGCGAGCGGTTTATAGCTGCTTGGGGAAGACAGTGGGGTAGAGCCCTGGCAGTGGAATTCTTCGCTACAGAAGAGGACGGGACTGAGCTGAAGTTGTACGAGGGAGGGAAGGTGCGCCTGGCGGGTAGACAGGGTGTGTTGAAAGCGTGGAGCTTCGTGCAGCGTTGCTGGGGTCAAGGGCCAAGTGTATGTGGGGATGAGGGAACAGTTGAGGGGAGGAGGACGGGGCTGGCAGAGACCAGGCTGGATTCCTCTCCGCCCCCTCGCGACTGCGGGGCAGTGGCTGCTGGCCCTCTACAGACTCCACGGAGGCCCTGGAGGTCCCTGCGGTTCCATGGCTCTCAGAGTCAGCCCTGGAGTGACCCAGCTTCTCTCCGCCTTTACTTTGTCTGCAAAGCCCACAGCAATGCAGGAAGCTCAAAGCGCCTGCAAGACTCTTCCAGCTACAAGTGACAGAAGCTCCATTCAAGCCGGCTTAAGGGAAAAAACGAAGTATTTGCTCACGAACTGAAGTGTGCAGGAGTAGCTGCAGCTTCCAGCCCTCTGCCCTGCCTTTCTCTGTCTCTCAGCTCTGCCTTCCTCTCTGTTGGCTTTTTCTCAAGCCACGTGGGGGCCCTGGGAGATGCAGGCTGAGTCCCATCAGAAAAAGGGAGCCCTCCCTCCCCTAAAGCACCACCATTTGAAGTCCCAGGCCAGGCGCTCAGCTTGGGGTCCCAGGCCCATCCCTGCCACTGGCACCCTGGTGGAGGGAATGCAGTCACATGCCCACCCCCAGCAGCCACCAGACACCATGGGTTGAGATGGGGGTGTCTTTAGAGAAGACCTGGGGCTCTGTTGTCAGAGGAGGGGGTTCTGGGCAGCAGATGCCTTCCCCCTACCCCGGCCCCAGGCCACATGGAATGTACCCAAACCACTGGGCTCAGGGCAGGCTTTGTTTTCTTGTCACTGACCTGGGTCTTAAGACACAGAGGAGGTGCTGTTCCCATGTGTAACCTTTTCTCTCTTTCTCCCTCATTTTGCAGGGACCCCTGGGTCTGGATGGCAAGCCTGTAAGTAATGACAAGGCAATTCTAGGTGGTCCTGGGATGGAACTGCCACTGTGGGGCTGTGAGTGACCATGGGGCACCAGAGGGAAGAGGCCACCGGGAACCTGGCTCAGCACAGAGAGAAGCTGTTGGCTTCAAATCCAAGTCCACCACCTGCTGACTGTGACACCCATGGGGGGCCTCTCCACCTCCCAAACCTGAGGTTCCGTGTCTGTGAAATTGGTGCATTAACCCCTCCCTGACAGGAATGTTTCAGGATTACGGGGAACTGTGGGCAGCATAGATGCTGGTGTTCAGTCAGCTCTCACAGAGTGTGAGCCCCTCCCAGCAGGCTCCAGGCAGAGTGTCTCTGGATGTATTCTCAAGACTTCCATGGTGGGCATCGGGCTGAGTTCTCAACACCTGAGCCAGGGGCCGCATAGTCTATGGGCATCCTCAGCAGATGAACAAAATGCACAGGGAGACAGCACAAGTAAATGAATAATTGGATGTGGACAGATGGATACATGGATGGCTGGGTGATGGAGAGATGGATGGATGGATGGATAGGTGGGTGGTTGGATGAGTGGATGGATGGATGGATGGGCAGGTAGATGGATGGGTGGATGGATAGATGGATGGGTGGATGAGTGGATGGATGAATGGATGGGTGGATAGGTGGATGGGTGGGTGGATAGACAAGTGGATGACTGAACGAATTGACAAATGGACAGAGAGATGGTGGGTGGATGAGTTGGTGGGTGGATGGATGGATGGATGGATAATTCTTCCAAGCAAGGACTGATGGATGGAGCCCAGACTCCAAAAGGCTACCACCCTTAAAGAAAAGAACATTTCTGGAAACAGGATCTCTCTCCACTGCCTGACTTGCAGATTCCAGACAGACAGCTTAGGGGCAGTGGTCTCCTCTCCGGCAGCAGGCACAGGCAGGTGCTAAGCAGTGAGGGACTGTGATCTCTGGGAGGAGTGACTAGTGCATGTGCCCCTTTCCCTGCTGAGAAAATGCCAGTGGGCCCTTGCTGGTGGCCTCAAATCCCTCACCTCCCTCGTGCTGAAGACTGAGCTGTGGCGCTTCCCTAGGGCCAGCAAGGGCAGCTCTCGTTAAGGGCTGATGGCTTGTGTGCCATTTTCCACTCAGCTGCCCACGGCTCTGCTCAGCATCACAGGCCCTCAGAGCCATGGGGAAGCCGGAAGGGAGGCCAGCCTCAGCCTCCTCTCTTAGGCCTGTTGTTTCTCCACTTTCCTTCTCCAGGGACTTCCAGGCCCTAAAGGGGAAAAGGTAAGTGAAGCTGGAGGCTGTTCAGATGTGGGTAGCTGAGGAAGGGTGCCAAAACCTGCCTCCGAACCCCAGTTCCAGAGCGCGACGTTGGGCATGTCACAGCCCCTTCTAGAGCCTCAGTTTCCCCATCTATAAAGCAGGGCGAGCAGTGCCTGCCTCCTAAAATGGTTACAAGGCTTATGTTTCACATGCCTGAGGGTTCAGTCTGAGTTCTCCTAGCACCAGAGCATAAATTACAAAACTCAGAGGCCCCCAGTCTGTCCCAAATGATGAGTTTCCAAAGCCATTAATCATGAAGAGGGGCACCAGGCAGGCCTGGGGGTTGAACAACCATGTTAACAGGATGGTCTGTGGGGAGGACACCGCGGGAACACAGGTGGCAGAGAGCTATCTTTGCAGCCCTGTATGAGGAAGGCTTCCCTGGCATTTGGCACTAAAAGTCACACACAGCCCTGCTGGAGGGCAAAGGTCTCTGAATGCCTTGGAAGGGAACAGGAGACCTGTGTGTCCCATGTGGGATCAGGAGAGGGAGTGGCCAGGACACACCGAGGTGTGCTTCCTGGGAAGGGCTGGACCACATCCACCCCGGCCTGGAATTTGGCCGTGGGGCAGTGGGTCCTTCTGTGAAGTGGCAGCTTAGGTTTAGAGAGGGGCTGATTCCCATCCACCATCAGGGCTGAGGACGCCGCGGGAAGGCACAGGATTTGGTGTTCAGGGCCTCAGCTTTGCCTTCTGGCCCCATCACCAACTGTGTGGCCTTGTACAAGTTGCCTGGCTCTGTGAGCCTCGGTTTCCCCATCTGTGAATTAAAGCCAACCTCGCAGAGCCATGGGGAGGACTGCATGAGGTCACGGTCTGAGTGTTCATCGATAATGAGAGACTAGCACATTGGTAGGTGTCATGATTACCCTCTGGTGACATCCCGCTGGCTCTGACTGATGCCACCAAAGCACAGAAATGATTCAAGCAGGGGCTTTGAAGGCAGAGAGGAGCCAGTGTCTTGGTATCTACTGCTGCATAGTGACCGCCCCACAGCTTCCTAGCATAAAACAGTCATTGTCATCCCTCCCAGAGGACAGGTGGGAGCAGCTGCCTCTGCTCCGCGATGCCTGGGGCTGGCTATGGATAAGGGAACACGTGGTCTCAGGCCCTGGATCCGCTGGCTGTGTGGCCTTGGGCGGGTTACTGGCCTCTCCGCGTCTCAGTTTCCGAATTGGAAAGGAAATAACAGTAGAACCTACCTGTTGTTTTTGTTAGGATTAAGTCAGACCACGAATGTGGAGCACTGAGCAGAGTGGCCGCCCCGTAGGAAATGTGAAGAAATAACGAAAGCGGCGGTGATATATCTCCCTGTCTTTTGTTCCTAGGGTGTACCAGGAGACTTTGGCCCCCGGGTAAGAACTGAGCGCAGCCTCCTTCACCCGCTCACACCACAGGTTTTCTGTAATAACAGGGCCCACCTGCCATTCCCTCTGGGTCCCAGCTCCCCAGAGCTCCCATCACAGAAGCATGGGAGGCAGCCTCTCGTCCCCACCCACGGCCACTGTGTGGGAGCCCCCAGGGACCCCTGCACAGATGAAGAGTGTCTGGCAGATGTCCAGGTCCCAAGCTTATCACTTAGATGCTGGACAGTGGGGCTGGCACCGTCCCAGATCCGGAACTGACCGTCCTGAGGGCAGGCAGCCGCCCAGGGAGAGGGGAGGCTCCGGGACCAGCAGACCGGAGCCCAAAGCTCAGCTCTGCCACTCACCAGCCAAGTGGCCTTGAACAAGTCACTTTCCCCTCTGAGACTCTGTTTCTACAACTGTGCATGGGCGTGACAGCCCCACCCCAGGTGGTGGTTGCGAAGATTCATTGCTTCACACGAGCCAGCACCCTGCACCCTGCGTGGGGACAGCAGATCCGTCTCCCAACCAACCTGCCTCTCAGTGTCCCCTGCACCCAGGCACTCAGAAGGGCCTGGCACTGAGCCTGGGGTCTCCTAAACAGAAGCTGAAGCTGAGTGGAGCCCCCATGTCGGGGTAGGCCGCGTGAGGTGGCCGCGCAAAGCAGGTCTTGGCAGAGGGTCACTTGAGTGGCTGGCCGCAGATGGGTGCCCTTGCCATTTCTGGCACAGCCCGGGCAGGAGGCTACAGGAGCACTGGACACAGAGGCGGAGAGGTGGGCACCAGCTGCCCAGAGATGAGCCAGAAAGCAGCGTACGCCTGGCTGTTTTTAAGCAGGTTGTGGGGTGGAAACTATAGCCCGTGGGCGGGTCACCTGTGGCGAGCACCTGCAGGGCTGGAGGTGGAAGTGGGTGGAAATGAGAGAGCTACTGGTCCCGGAAGAGGGCACTAGTGCAGGGGAGGGGAAGGAAGTGGCGGCCCTGGAGCTTCGTGGTCAGGCCGGGCTGGGTCCCCCCCGCCCCGCGCTCCCGTGGCCCTGAGCAGGGAGGGCGCTAGCCAGGCCGAGCCCCCGTGCAGAGCCGCCCCGGCTGGGCTCTGAGGCCACTTAAAGCCAGTGAGGTTGCTCTGAAGTCTGAGAAAGGGCGCCCACGCTGAGTTTTGGCTGCTGAGAAAAATCCTTTTGCTTGCTGTCGGTGGATGTACGGAAGCTGCTCTGCCAAACAGGGATGGCCTTCCCCACACCCAGGGCCACGGAAGAGCAGGTTTCCGCCCAAGCCCCTCCCCCTCCCCGTCGTCCCAGTGTTCCAAGCATCTGGGAGACAACTCCCTGCCCCCCTGCAAAAAAAGGAACAGTTTAGTGGCTTAAAACTACAGTGTGTCCTTTTCTCGGGGGGTCCCTGGGTTGGCCAGGGTCTCTCTGGTGGTCGCAGGCACCGCCAGCGCGGGCAACTCGGCTCTGCCACCAGGGCCCCTGTGGATCCCGCGCCTCCCCACGTGGCGGCTGCGGCCCGAGGGGCTTCCCGAGGGCAGCATTCCGAGAGGTGGGCACTGCCAGGGGCCTGTTGAGAGCTACACCCAGAATGAAGGCAGCATTATTTCCCCCGTATTTCATTGGTGCAGTCAGGGCCATCCCGAATCAAGGGGGTGGAGAAATAATGCCCCACCTCCACCCCTCCCCCACACACCTCCTCTCCAGGGAGAGCTGCAAGGTCACCATGCAGGAGACCTTGTGGGACAGGGGCTGGTGCAGGCACCTCTCTGGAGTAGGTGTCTGTGCACCCGATCACCGAACCGCCTTTCTCTGGGCTGGGTTTAGTGGCTTTGCCTCCAGATGTCAAAAGCCTTGAAATCACTCTCCTGCCTTTCTGACCACGCAATCTGTTTGCTGACTAGATGGTTTTCCCACGGCTCCACCCAGGCTTTATAAATAGAGACCGTCATGCATACAGTCTCCACATCCTCAAGGTAGACTGGCCGAGTCGGGGCTCTGGGCCCACTGCTTTGCTGTGCTCCCTGGACTCACCCCACGTTCCCAGGGCGAGACCTCAGCCATCCAGTCGGAGGGAGGAGGGCGCCTGGGGAAGAACCTAAGAACATCTCTCCTACAACTGGGTCAAGTGTCTCTAATCCATTTTCTGCCTCATAAGTAGAGGCCAGACAGTGGTCCTCAGGCTGAGACCCCTGAGCTGCGAAAGGAGCAGCAGAGTGGTGAGGGGGTGTCTCCAATCTGCCCGATGCAGCACAAGGCGAAACGGGAATTACCTGCCACCATCACCACCCGCAGCTGGTGGCCCAACTGTCAGTTTTCTTTCCTTCTAGCTGGAGTTATAACCTTTTGGTTGGTCCCTGGCTATGCCAGACTGGTCAGAAGATCTCCATGGTGAACACTGAGAGCTTCCATTGATTTTTTCGTTGGGAAAACAAATGAATTATGTGTTAAGTGCAGTTTGCTAGAGAGATGAGCTCTTTCAGATCATGGCAACCATGGATGAAAAAAGTATCTAAAGGGACCATCGTCCTTGACAGTCAGAGAAGGCTCTGTAACCTTGGGTAAATGTTTACCCTCTCTGACCCCCCCAACCAGACAGGAACAGAGCCCTGGCCAGCTCGTCACGCAGATGCAGATGGAGTAAGACAGTAGAATGAGACAGTCTTCACGACGCCCTCACTTGCTCAGTGCTAGGTCCACAAAAGATTTCTTCCTTTTTTGATTACAAGAAGTTTGGGAGCTACTGGCACCATGGCCTCGGCATGCCCCGTTCCTGTGCCCTGTGCTGGGCAGGCCCTGCTAGGGAAGCAGGAAGGTGCCAGTCACACTGTGGGCTTTTCTCCTTGAAGGTTGGGCCAAGAAGTGAGGGCTCTGGCTGCCTGAGGTCTGAGCCGGTACTAACATCAAGTCCGAAAGTTGGGGACTTAGTGTTGCATGAGCCTGTGTGGCCCTTTGTCACCTTTCTTTGTAACTTTCAATGTGAGACAATTATAGATTCACCTGCATTGGTAACATGTAACGCCCCACACGCCTTCATCCAGCTGCCCCAGAGATGACATCTTGCATCGCTGTAGTTCAATCCCACCAACCTTATTCAGATTTCCCCAGTTTTACGTACACTCATTTGTGTCTGTGTTTAGCTTTATGCAATTTTATCACAGTTGTAGATTCTTTTAGCCACCACAAAGATCTAAAAATCACATCCGTCCCTCTCATTCCTAATTCCCGGCAACTATTAATTTGTTCTCCACCGGACGCGGTGGCTCACGCCTGTCATCCTAGCACTCTGGGAGGCTGAGGGGGGAGGATGGCTTGAGCTCAGGAGTTTGAGACCAGCCTGAGCAAGAGTGAGACCCCGTCTCTACTAAAAATACAAAAAACTGGCCGGGCATCGTGGCGCACTCCCATAGTCCCAGCTACTGGGGAGGCTGAGGCAGGAGGATTGCTTGAGCCCAGGAGTTTGAGGTTGCTGTGAGCTAGGCTGATGCCACAGCACTCTGGCCCAGGTGACAGAGTGAGACTCTGTCTCAAAAAAAAAAATTATTCTCCATGTCTGTAACTTTGCCGTTTTGAGGGTGCTGCATAGATGCAGTCGTCCCGCACTGGCCTTTTGAGATGGGCTCTCTTCACTCAGCATGATTCCGTTGAGATGCATCCGAGTTGTTGCCCGCGTCAGTGGCTTGTTCCTTTTCCGTCTGTTGCTGAGTAGTGTTCCGTGATGCGGATGCACCACGGCTGATTAACCGCTTACCCACTGAAAGACACTGGAGTCTCCAGTTCAGAGCTGTCACTAATAAAGAGCTATGAACATGCATGTACAGGTTTTTGTATGAACCTAACTTTTCCTTTCTCCGTGATAAATGCCCAGGAGTGTACTTCCATCACTTTTAATGAAGCAGGCGTCGACCAGTCGAGGTCTTTCAGGAGACACTCAGTCCCCTTTCTGGAAAGCAGAGGGCTGGGTGGGCACGCGCGCTTCTTCCCACAGCCAGCATGCCTTCGCACTCACCCGAACACCATATCTGGGCTTCAGGGGCTGGAGAGCCAGCAAGTTCCTTGGAGTGTAAAAGGTCCCATTGGGCCTCTTACACCAAGGTATAGAGACCTGTCCCTTCATGTGGCTGCCAAAAATGGCAAGAGGCCCAGTAACAAAGCCCTTCCCTTTGAGCCCAGCCCAGGGCTGGGAAAGGGGCCAGCTGAGGGGCTGCCCGGCTGCGGGAGCCTCTCTGGGGGCTGGAGCCCTCCCCGCACCCTCAGAGTCATGCCAAACCCCATCTTTTTCAGGGAGACCAAGGGCAAGATGGAGCTGCTGGACCTCCAGGGCCCCCTGGACCCCCTGGGGCCCGGGGCCCTCCTGGCGACACTGGGAAAGATGGCCCCCGGGGAGCACAAGGCCCAGCGGTAAGAGGGGGCAGGGGACTGGCCCACCAAGGACCTGTCCTGTACTGACCAAGACCCCAAAGCATCATCTCAGAGCCGACCCCAACCCCAGCACTATCTCTAGTGCAGACCCAGCACGATCTTAACCCCAGTCCAGGCACCGAACCTGGGCCCAACCTTAACTCCGACCCAGCCCCAGCCCCAGCCTCGACCCCAGTTCGGATCCTGTCCCTGACCCAGACTTAGACCCATCCCTAGCTCCAGCCCGGACGCTTACCCAGTCAGACCTTAAATGTAACACTAATGGGGTCCCTAACCCCAGTCAAGACCTTGGCCCCAAATTCATTCCCAAATCCTGACCCACACCCCCAATTCAAACAAGTAACCAGCCCCCAACCCTGCCCTGACCCCTGCAGACTGTGACCCTGACTCCAAACCGAGCTCTAACCCCAGATAGACCAGAAACCTAACCCTGCCCTTGGTTGCCGCCTCAGTCCCCATCCTGACAGCCAGACCCTGAGGCCCTGCGTGGCCCTCTCTCTCTCTCTCTCTGCTGGTCTTTAGCAGCCCTCTTCCTCTCTCTGCCCTCCGTGGTCCTCCCTGGTGCTAACGAGTTCTCTGAGTTCTCCTGGGGCCCTAACCCAATCCTGGGGGCCAGACCACACCCTGCCACCCTCTCCCTACCCCACGGATGCCAGCCTGCCCTCCCTGCGTTGTGGAGCCCACACCCCCACCAAACAGGCAGCCACTCGGTGGCTCATCTTTGTCACACGGCCCGAGTCTGGCTCTGTCATCTGTGAGTGGGGTGGGCGGTGCCGCTCCTCAGGGTTTGGGGAGGATGACACGAGATAATGTACTCAGAGCCCCAGCCGGGCCTGGCATGAGGTTTGGGCTCAAACATGACATCCTGCACCCCTCATTGCTGTCCTCTCAGGGTCCCAGAGGAGAGCCTGGACAAGACGGCGAGATGGTCAGTATCCAGGGCCTTTCAGAGCCGGGCTGACGGGACTGCGGTTCCCAGCCCCGGAAACCCCTTTCCCACACACACTGACACCAGGATTGTGCGTGAGCGTGTGTGTGTGTGTGTGTGCGTGTGAGTGCATTCGGACACACGCCTGTGCACACTTGTGCTCCTGCCTCTGGATGGGCGAGGTGCCAGCCCAGGCAGAGTCTGAATAGCCCCACGTTCCTGTCGGGGACCTGCAGTCCACCCGTCACCACCGAGCCCTCGTGCGGAAGCCGTCCACGGCACGCGGAGTCGGGCCTGGAGTGGGCAGCACAGCCCCCGTGCTAGCGACAGCCCTGCCTCCTGCTCGGTGGGACTTGGTGTGAGGAAGACAAGAGCAGGAGTGGCCTCCGCTGTGTTATCTGACACCTTCCCTTCTCCTGTTCCAGGGCCCCAAGGGACCCCCAGGGCCCAAGGTGAGTGTGCCTCACTCCCCGACCCCCAGCCTGTGGGGTGGGCTCCTGCAGCAACACCTCCCCCCACATGAAAGCCCAGACAGTAGGGCCAGGAAACCAAATTCTGTGACTACGGGCAAGTTACTGCGTGTCTCTGGGCCTCAGCTTACTCATCTATTAAATGGGGCATAATAAACCTTTTCTGCCTTCACACTAAGTTGTGAGGATTGAAACAAAAAACATGTTAGCTTTTTGGTTTTTTTTTTTTTTTGAGACAGAGTCTCTCTTTGTTGCCCGGGCTAGAGTGAGTGCCGTGGCGTTAGCCTAGCTCACAGCAACCTCATACTCCTGGGCTCAAGCGATCCTCCTGCCTCAGCCTCCCGAGTAGCTGGGACTACAGGCATGTGCCACCATGCCCGGCTAATTTTTTCTATATATTTTTAGTTGTCCAATTAATTTCTTTCTATTTTTAGTAGAGACGGGGTCTCGCTCTTGCTCAGGCTGGTTTCGAACTCCTGAGCTCAAACAATCTGCCCGCCTCGGCCTCCCAGAGAGCTAGGATTACAGGCGTGAGCCACCGCACCTGGCCAGCTTTTTGGTTTTTAATAGACTTTATTTTTAGAACAGGTTTTTGTTTCGGTTTTTTGGGAGGTTATTTTTGTTTTTGTTTTGCTTTGTTTTGAGAAGGATCTCACTCTGTTGCCCAGGCTGGAGTGCAGTGGCATCATCATAGCTCACTGCAGCCTTGAACTCCTTGGGCTCAAACGAACCTCCTGCCTCAGGCTCCCAAGTAGCCATGACTACAGGCATGCGCCACCACACCCAGCTAATTTTTAAATTTTTTGTAGAGACAGGGTCTCTCTGTGGTGCCCAGGTTGGTCTCAAACTCCTGGCCTCAAGTGATCCTCCTGCCTTGACCTCCCAAAGTGCTGGGATCACAGGCGTGAGTCACCTTGCCCGACCTAGAACAGTTTTTGATTCACGACAAAATTGAGTGGGAAGTACAGAGAGTTCCCGTATCGCCCCTGTCCCCACACGTGCACAGCCTCCCCCACATTCATTACAGCTGAGGAGCCTGCACTGCCACATCGTCACCCAAGGGCCACAGCTCACACCAGGGTCCTTCTGGCGCTGTGCGTTCCGAGAGTTTGGACAAACATATCACCACGTTGACAAGTACCCACCGTTGCAGTGTCACAGAGTATTGTCACTGCCCTGCCAGCTCTCTGTGCCCTACCGCCTCCTCCCTTCCCTCTCCCAGCCCTCCGTGTCCGTGTCGTGTGGTCGCAGCGTGCTGGGCGCGGCCTTTTCAGACAGGCTCCTTCCGCCTAGTGACACGCACTCGCCTTCCTCCGTCTCTCATGGCTCGACAGCTCGTTTCTTTTCAGAGCCGAATCGCGTTCCCCTGTCTGGCTGGTCCGCAGTGTGTGTATCCACTCACCCGCGGGTGATCCTCTTGTTTGCTTCCAAGTTTTGGCGATTATGAAAAACGCTGTCAACATCCAGCTGCAGGTTTCTGTGTGGACACGCGTGTCCCACCACATTAGCTCCTGACGCCCTCTCCGGATGTCAGCCCTCTCCCTTCCCCCTCCTCGGCGGCGGCTGGGTGGAAAGCAAGGCCCTCCCTGCCTGGGGAGGAGAGATGGAAAAGGGCTCCCTCAGTGCGCGCCGGCCGCGTGCCCGGGCTCGCAATGCGCCCTCTGGCGGAGGCGGAGCGCCACCTCCCCAGTGTCAGGAGCAGCGACTTGTCTGGAGTCGTTGAGCTTGGGGGTGACTGGCCCAGGAGTGGAATCCAAGACTGTCAGCCCACCGCCCGTGAGCCCCTCTCTGAGGGCTCCAGGGGTCTCTGGGCTGGCCCTGGGCAGGGCCATTGGTGCCACTTCTACCAGAGGGACAAGAGGGCTGTGTGTGCCCAGGCCACGCCTATGGCTCTGACCTCTCTCTTGCGCCCCCCTTGCCTCCCCCTCAGGGCGAGCCCGGTGTACCTGGGAAGAAGGTGAGGGGCCCGAGGAGGAGGTAGCTGGGGACCGGGGGGCAGGGGAGGGGGCGGGGGGAGTGGGGATGGGAGCCCCCAGCAGGGCAGAAGGCCTTCCGTCCGCCAGACCAGACCCTCCCGGTGGGTGGCTGCCCCAGCCTAGGTCTCAGCGGAGCCAGAATCTCACTCGTTCTTTCCCTTCCTCAAACATCAAATTCATGCCCACTTCAGGGCCGGGAAAGTGGCTCCCGAGTGTGGTCCTGGCACCAGCAGAATCAGCGTCACCCGGGGCTTGTTAGGAATGCAGATTCAGGGCCACCCAGACCCAGACACGCTGAGGCTGGGCCCCGGTCTGTTTAACCAGGCCCTGGGTGACACTGATGTGAGCTCAAGCCTGGGAACCACTGAACAAGAACGATCTCCCCGAGTCCCTCTCCGTGGTGCCATCCCCTTCTGTCCTCTTCCCAACACCCCACTCCTTGACACGGTGCCTGCATTTGCTCATCTCTTCTCCCCCCGCCACCTCCGACTGTCTGAGGAGGGTCTGGTCTGCGGGGCCTGCAGGGGCGCCCACAAAATACTTGTTGAATGAATGAATGAATTCACTGTCACTCAGCTGCCCTTCCGTTCTTTCTGCCAGTTCCTGCTGGGCTTGCTCTGGGCTGGTGCTGGGCTGGTGGGGACAGGGGACAGAGATGGATCTGACCTCCCCTACCCTCGAGGGGCGAGGCGAGGAACTGCCCCACCCAGTGTGCCCGGTGCTGGGGCCAGGAGGGCTGGTGTCTGTTCCAGAGAGGGGAGGGACGGCCGGTGGTCCGCACGTCCGGCCAGCGAGCTCCAGCTGCTCTCTCCTCAGGGGGATGACGGGACGCTAAGCCAGCCAGGGCTCCCTGGACCCCCCGGGCCCAAGGTGGGTGTCTGCCCCTCCCTCAGCAGTCCCTTGCCTACCACCTCCCCAGTTTTTGTCTGCCTGGTGAAGCCCCGTCCTGGCCCCTTCACCGGCATGGGCTACTACCCAGGCCACCAGCGCAAGGCCACGGAGGGCCCTGGGCGCCTCTTGCCAACGGGCCCGGCCCCTCGTCTAGGCCATTTCCCTCCCTTCACTCCCCCAAGCCCTCTTGGTTCCCATTTCAGGGGACCCCACTCTGCACCCTGTCCCCGAGCCAGGAATTGGGGGTCATCCTCAAGCTTTCCTCCTCCAGCCCCTCGCGACAGCCCCAAATCCTGGCCAGCCAGCCTCCAATTGTCTCGTGAGCCCTGAGCGGCCCCAGTGTGTGCCGAGGTCCAGACCGGCAAGTGGCAGCTGTGGTCCTGCGCCCCGAGCCGGGGAGAGCCCTGGGGCGGGCGGGCTCGGGCACCAGGCCCCACAGCCCCGGCACCCCCTGGCTTGCCCCCAACCCCGCGCTCGCTCTCACTGCGAATGTTCATTTCAGGGCGAGCCAGGGAGTGTGGGGCCCCAAGGAGAGAACGGCGTGGACGGTGCCCCAGGCCCGAAGGTGACTGTGTGGCGCACGGCCCCGGACTGCAGGCCCCTTCACACTCGCCCAGTCGGGAGGGCCCACGTGGCTTCACCTCTAATGTGCCCTTTTGAGGAGGGCCTGGGGCCGGGGGTCTCCTTGGCCTTGCAGGGAGAGGCTGGCCTGAGGGTGGGTGGCAGTCCCTGTGAGTGAGTGACAAGGCCTCCGCTGGGGCCCAGCTTTGTGGCCAGCCTACCACATAGCCTCGGACTCCCAGGCCCCGGTGTCCCCGTCTCTACGCAAGGGGGGTCAGAGGAGGGTCCTGGCCCTGGAGTGCCACTCCCTACATTCGGCCACTAGGGCTCCAGCCTTGTGGGAAAGGGGCCTGCAGGCGGGGCAGGGGTGGGGATCCTCGGGCTTCACATCTGCACCCCTGCTGCCACCGTGTGTCTCCACAGGGGGAGCCCGGCCACCGAGGCACGGACGGCGCTGTGGGGCCCCGGGTAAGCCGCCGCCCTCAGCCAGGCCACACTGATGGAATGCAAGGGTCATGGCCCTGTCCCCACAGAGAGCCCAGAGAAACAGTGGAGCCACAGGAACTAGGAGTCTTTAAATTTTTTAAATAATTTCTAAGTGATTTTTTTAATTTCATGATACCTGCTTTTGGTAAAATGCTCAAATGTGAATATATAAAAATAAGAGTCCCAACTTCTTATTAAATAAGAGCTCCCTCCTCCCCAGGTGAGTGCATGCCAACCCTCTTCTTTGCACACTCAAACCCAGGGCTGTGGTCTGTCGTGTGGCATGACCCTGCCCACAGTGGGCTGGGCCTTGCCTTTTCCTGCCCCACACGGAAGTTCCTCCCTGCCACCAGGAGCACAGCCACCCCAGCCAGCCCCAGATCCTCTGCGACCAGCCCCTCTCAACACGCTTTATGTTGACAGCTGGGACCGCGTCCTCAGCTCTGTCACCAGGATGGCTTCTTCCTCCAAAAAGTGGATCTGAGCCCCCAGCTTGGCTGCATGGGTGGCCAGGGACTGGATTAGGCAGTGAACATGGAGCCTGGACCATGGAGCCGCTCGCAAAGGAGGCCCAGGCCTGGGTCCCTCTGCCCTTCGCAAGGGGCCGGCTCTGGGCCCGAACCAAAGCGCTTACCTCCCTCACTGTCCTCCTGGCAGCCGCCAGCCTGGGCTGGGACGTGAGATTCAGAAGGGAAGGGCCAGGCCAGTGGCAGTGCATTTGTGGTGGGTGTGTGGGCATGTTTGTCAACGTTTAAAAATCTGAAGAATTTCACGTCAAAATCAGGCTTTCCATTTTCCCTTGAGAACTCAGGGGTCAGGCCTCCGTGTGCTTGAACGCCTGTATTGAGGCCTATCACGGCCACCTTCAGCTCAGACCAGGCGGGGCGTGTTCCTCAGTCTCCCCTCCTCCACCTGCCCCTACCCTCACGTGCTGGGATCGCGCCAGCTTGCATCCGAGAACTAGCGCACAGTAAGCGTGCGTGTGGGCCCGGGTGACACGGCTCTTCATTCACCTCCTCTCTGGCTGTGATGCAGCGACAGCTACTGCTTCACCCACCCATATAGCTCTTCCCTGAAATTCCCATGCTTCTTCCTGCCTCAGGGTCCCCCAGGCCTCAAGGGCGAGCAAGGAGACACAGTGGTGATTGACTACGACGGCCGGATCCTGGATGCTTTCAAGGTAGTGTTCCCGGGAGGCACCCTAGATGTTCGTTTTCTTAAAGAATAATCGCTCATTTTATGTATTCATCCTGCACTTCTTTACACAAGGGGCCAGGGGTAGCTTAGCAAAAAGACCCCAACTTGGCCACACATGGTGGCTCACGCCTATAATTCTAGCACTTTGAGAGGCCAAGGCAGGAGGATCGCTGGAGCCCAGAAGTTTGAGGTTGTGGTGTGCTAGGATTGTGCCAGTGCACTCTAGCCTGTGCAACAGAGCAAGACCCTGTCTCAAAAAAAAAAGGCCCCAACTTCATTAGGTGTCTGATACGGAAATCAGTGCTGTGCTGAGACCCGCATGATGCTGAGAGACCTGCTGTGAATGTGGCTCATGTGGCCCTGAGCTCCCCAGCGGTCAAGGCAAAAAGGGAAGCTCCCCACTCAAGGGCAGGCGGCAGAGCATTTCCTGTTGTCTAGTCCCAGCACTGTCTCCCAGGGCCTCCCCCAGGATCACTGGCTGGAGGGCTAGGACTTCCAATGACTGCTGTGGGGGAGGAAGAGAGTGGCGAGGCCTGGCCCAGAAACCTCGGGAGATGTGTGGCCTCTGACCCTGCTCAGTCACTGGCAAACTTGGGACCCACCACCAGTGGAGAAAGAGGTTAGGTGCCAGCCGCTCTCAGGCACCCCAGAAGGTTCCCATGAAGTCGGGGAGGGGTGGTCATCGGAGACCAGACCGGGCGTTGGCACCTGATCCCAGCGGAGCTTCAATCCCAGCTGTCTCCCACAGGCCTCAGGGAAGTACAAGCTGACGGTAACCGTGGCCCACCGCGGGCCGGCACGGTGTGTGGCGTGGTGTGCTGCGGCCCCGGGGCACGCACGCGCATGGTGTGTCCCAGCCGGCAAGCCCCGTGGGAGAAGCTCTGCGAGTGCAGGGAGTCCGGAGGAGGACTGTGGATGCCAGGCTGGGACGATGACTCGATTTGATGGGCAGCGCGCAGCCATAGTCAGTTCTCGAGGAGGGCAATGATGCTAAAAAAATAAAAACCTAGGGGGGAAGCTGGCTGGGGAATGATGAGAAGGTGTAGGGGAGAGCTGGTGCCCCCAGGCAGGGAGGCGCTGGGCCTGGGCCTAGAGGAGAGCGGGTAGGATGGAGGACATGAGGGAAGACCAGGGACATCTCAGTGGAGATGGCAGCAAGAAGGGAGGACCCTGGGGGAAGGGACCCGGTGGTCGGGGGACTAGAGCTTGTCGAGAGGCTGAGTAGAGAGTGGTGATGAGCCGCTGTGGGTAGGCGGCCTGCAGGAAGGACAGGTGAGGACAGGAGTTTGGGAATGGGGGCAGACCTAGAAAGGCTAAAAACCCCACACTCCACCCATGAGACTGAGGAACTCCCCAGGACCGGCAGGCAACGGAGCCAGATGGTCAGAGAGCTCACAGGACAGGCAGAGAAGGCAGTGCCAGGCTACCATTGGGGATGCAATTTTGGCCCAGCCTTGAATACCAGCAGAGGATTTCAGCTTGCTTCCAGAGGCAATAGGGAGCCATCGCAGGGTCTTGAGCAGGGGAGTGCTGTGAAGAAATCTGTACTTGGGGCAGACTGGCTCTGAGGGCAGAGGGACCCAGGGCCCTCTGTGGCAGCAGACACCGTGCTCTCTTGTCCATTGCTGAGTGCTGCTCCCTGGCCTTCCCCAAGACTTGGGGGCCAGATCCAGGCATGTGCAGTGTGGCCTGACCTGGCTGGGGGAGAAGCGGGCTCCGAGGTCCCTTGACCCTGCTGCAGCTCCTCTGGACAGGGACTTGGCCCACAGCGGGGGTCTGGGCGGGCAGTGAGGGGAGACCCTGCCTAACCACTGACTGGCGTGACTTTCACACACAGGGTCCTCCTGGGCCACAGGGGCCCCCAGGGCCACCGGGGATCCCTGGAGCCAAGGTCAGTGTAGATGCAGCTATGTGGTCCCCAAGCCTTGTCTCTAGAGCCCGCCTCCCCCTCCTCCCTGCATGTGCCCTTCCGGTGCCCCCTGGGCTCCTGGCCTGGCTCCTGGGGCTCAGAGGAAGGGGCCCTGCTCCTTCCTAACCAAGCCAGGAGCCTTCGTCCTGGGCCCTGCCTACTCTGGGAGGCCTCCCTGGGAACCTCGTTCACATGTTTAAACTGAAAAATCAGCCCTTCGTGACATCACAGCAGTCCCCAGATGTGCATAGCCCATCCTGCGGCTGGTGCCCCTTGGTTTATAGCCTGCCGTTTGTGCCAGGAGAAGGGGCCTAAGACTCTGAAGTCAGGCAGGTCTGGTCCTGGCACTGCTGCTCCTGGGCTCAGCGGCCTGGGACAAGCCACTTAACCCTCCAAGCCTCGGCCTCCAGTCTGCGCCATGCCAGCTACAGATCCCAGCCAGGGGCCACATCTGCCCATCGGGGGCCACGGAAATGAAAGGGAGGAGGTGGTGGGCACCTTCCTGGAGGTCCAACTGCAGGGCCCCCACCCAGGCATGCTGCGGGTCAGGAGGCAGCCTGGCCCAGCCCTCAGGCTACCGACCCCTCTCTGGCCAGGGAGGCATAACCCCTCTTACTGTCTGTTTCCTTCCAGGGCGAGCTTGGACTGCCCGGCGCCCCAGGAATCGACGGAGAGAAGGTCTCTGGGCCCTTCATTTCCTTGGTGATGCCGGTGCCTGGTGCTGGGCTCTGTGTGTGTGTGTGTGTGTGTGTTTGTGCGCTCATGCACTTGTGCGGTCAGAGTCAGAGAGAAACCACCGTGTGCGAGAGGCCACGGGATATGGCGGCAAAAGGTGTGGACTCCAGAGCCAGGCTGCCGGCTGCACGTCCTGGTCTGCCTGCGGGCCTTGGACAGGTCGCTCACTCTAAGGCAGGTTCCTCGTGCACAGCTGAGAGGTGCTAGGGCTGTCATGAGGGCTGAATAACCGTGTATGTAAAACGCTTAGAGCAGTGCCTGCCACAGGGTAGCAAAGGGTCCACAAATGTCAGCTACTAGCATCACTGTCATTGTCGATATCATTGTAACTACACATGGTGTGCACACGTGTAATCCTACACAGATATGAGGATATCCGGGGGGGTCACTCGCTATTCGAGGGTGTGTCTTTCCTGGGTCCCCAGTGTGTGGCACGCCTTGGATGTTACGACTGGCTGAGTGGAGGGGTGCAGTGGCTGGAAGGGTGTGTGGGATTGGCAGTGCCCACCACAGGCTCCTGAGCTGTGAGCACAGAGTTGACCCCACAACTGCCCCCCAAGAGGCAGCCCCAGGCCCCTGTGCCCCGCCCCCTCCTCCCCATCCCCCTGCCCCAAGTGCCTGCATCCCAGCCTGCAGTGAGGCCGGAGTGGGGTGTCCCCTCCCTGTCTCCATCCAGATACCCCCCAACATTCTGCTGAGGCTCCCAGCCACCTGGGCTGGAGGTAGGGACCCACAAAGAGGAAGCGGGGGCCTGGCCTGGACTAAGCTCTGGGGACCTACCCGGGGTGGGGAGGGAAGATGCCTGCCGAGCCCCACTAATCCCTTGTTCTTGTGGCTTTCAGGGTCCCAGAGGACCAAAAGGAGACCCAGGGGAGCCCGGGCCTACCGGACTCAAAGGGGAAGCTGGCGAGATGGGCTTGTCCGGCCTCCCGGTATGTGGCTGGGCTGGGCCACACGCTGTGGCCAGTCCCGAGGAGAATGTGTGCCCACCACAGGCGGCTGCCGCTGCCTCGGTGCCGAGCCCGGGGCACTCTAGGCTCCCGGCCAGCGCTGCCCCCATGCTCCCTGAGCCTCCACTTCCTCATCCGTAAGAGGACCTGCCCCGCGGCATCCTCCCCAAAGATGAAATGGGAGGTGCAGGCTGGGTGCGTTAACCCTGTGCGCTCTGCCCTGAGCTGGCTCCCGCCCCGCCCTCACTGACTCCGAACCCAGACGGACAACCTCACCTCCCTGCCAGGTGTCCTCACCTCTAACGGGGGTGAGAACTCTCCGCCCCCACAAGGGGACGTGCGGACAGGGCTGCGAGTGGTGGCTGGCAACCCATAGATGGCCACTGTTGTCATCATCACCATTGTTATTGCTGCTCTTGTGGCTGCACTGGAAGTGCCACCGGGTGTCTGGCAGCCACTGGAAGCCCTCACGTCCCAACCATTGTCCGTCCCTGAGGATTACTCCAGAGGTGGCGCTGCGGTGTGAAGCGGGGTCTTTGTCCCGGAGCACTGGTTGCCCCTACGCCACAGGAAAGCAATCTGTGCGCTGTCCACGTGCTCTCTGAAGACCTGCTCTGCTCACCACCTGGGGCCTGTTCCACTGATTTAGGGCACATTTTTTTAAGCTGCAAAGGCCAGCTTATCACTGCTGCAAGGCAGTTGTGTGGGGAAGGAAGGGGAAGTCGCTGAGCACCGGTGGGTGGGACTTTGGTGCTGGACAGAAAGAGTTCACAGGCCATCCCATCCTGCAGGGTGCCGACGGCCCCAAGGGGGAGAAGGGAGAGTCAGCATGCGACAGCCTGCAGGAGAGCCTGGTAAGGGGCGCTAAGGGTCAGCGCTGCCCTCAAGCACCCAGCCCAAGCTGAATGGGGGCTCGAGCCTTGGGACAGAAAGGCCACCTGGCCTGACCAAGCCCAGGGCAGCGGGGGAGAGTAGCAAGGAGGCCTCGGGCTGTGTCCTCCACCTAAGGCGCATCCAAGAACCCCAGGGCAGCCCTGGGCCCCTCACCAGGCTGTGCCCTCCCGGAGACGGGAAGGAGGCTCACCCCAGGGGCCAGGGCCCAGCACCCGGGTGCGCAGCCAGTGAGTGAGCGTGGGTGGGTGAGGGATGACGGCGCGGTGGGTGACTAACCCATCTCTGACCCTTTCTAGGCCCAGATCGTAGTGGAGCCGGGGCCCCCTGGCCCCCCTGGGCCCCCAGGCCCCATGGTAAGGATGGTTTGGATTGAAGCAGCCAGGATACCAAGAGGGTAGGGGGCCCAGGCCCCGGAGCCATGACCGGGGGGACAGGCATCCTCATGGGGGAGCCGGGCATGTCCAGCAAAGAAAGCAGAGCCCAGGGCAGGGACCAGGGGCCAGCAGATGGCCTGAAGCCTTTGTGGCCGCTACAGGAGAGGGCCCTGGCCTGCGGTCTGGACCCAGCCGGACAGCCCTTCTGATCTGTTTCTCCTCCCTCCGTAGGGCCTTCAGGGAATTCAGGGCCCCAAGGTGAGTGGGTAGAAACCCCCTGCTCACCTCAGACTCACAGCCTGGGCAGGGTCAAAAGCCTTGCTGGTGGGCAAGTGGGGGACCCACACCCAGCCAGGGACCTGCACCCAGCCCCAGACCCAACCCTGTGTCCTCCCGGTGCCCGAACATTCCGAGTCTCCGGAGTGTAACATGCCTGATGTCCTTGGCCGGCGCCCCCACCTGGGGCTTGCTCTTTTGCTTCCCTGCCCAGGCCCGCCTGTCTCCCCCTCTCCTCCTCTGGTCTGCCTCCTGCTGTGTCTCCCTCCTCACCTTCTCCACCTTTCTCTGCGTCTCTCCCCCTCCTGCCCCCACACACAGCTGTTTCTCAACTGCCCACAGACGGAGCATGAAGTCTTGGGGTGGGTGTGCATTACATAAAGTCGTGTTCTCTGCTCTTAAACTAAAACCGAAGTGCGGCCTGCCTGTGTGCCCTGCCCGGGGGAGGCAGACAGGAAGGGGAGGGCATCTGGCCTTGCTGCTTGGCACGCCCGGTGCTGCCCTGGGGAGGAGCACATCTGTGCTTCCCCAGCTCGGAGGCCAGATGGGAGGCTCAGTCGTGGGATCCCAGGCCCAAGTGGGGCCGAGCATGTGGCCCAGCCAGACGCGCTGCTTCTGGTTTGGTTTCTCCCAAGGCCTCCCCAGACCGTGTTTACAAGAGGCAGCTGTTGTCACGGACAGGTCCAAGGTTGGGGCTGAGAAACCTGACTGGTACTCAGCTCTGCCACCTCCCTTCCCAGCTGTGTGGCTGGGCCCGTCCCCGGCCCTCCCTGCACCCCCTGCACCTCCTTTCCTCATCTGTGGCAGGGGTAACTGCAATCACCCTCCATGGTTACTAAGGGAGCCGGAGTGTGGGAAAAGGTGCAATGCACGTGCCTGTAGCTCATCCCAATTATCCTCGCCATGGAGGAAGCTGGGCCAGGCCTGGGGGGCCTGGATCTGTCCCTCTGCCGGGCACACCCAGCTTCCATGCAGGCCCCAAGCATGCCTGTCCTGCTGTCTGTCTGCCCCCTACTCCCTGACTGATTTCCCCCTTTGCTTCCAGGGCTCGGATGGAGCCAAGGGAGAGAAGGGCATGTCGGGCGAGAGAGGCCCCAGCGGCCTGCCTGTGAGTGTCTCTGCCTTGTTTGTCCCCAGAGGGTCACTCCTGTAACTTGCATGCCTCCTGACCCAGTCCCTTTCTGTCCAGGGGCCAGTTGGCCCACCGGGCCTTATTGGGCTGCCAGGAACCAAAGGAGAGAAGGTAACCACCTACTCGGACCCCGTCCCCAACTATGGCCGTGTGTCCACAGTGTCAGTCAGCCCTGGGTGCTCAACCCTGTACCTCACGGGGTCCCTGCACCTCACAGGGCCAGAGTTCAGGCTCTGTGGATGCCACGTCTTCCCTGTCCTCTGTGCCTGCATGGTCGATGGGTCTCCCTGCCCCCATGTCTGTGGCCAACCCACAGGGCTGAACTTCATCAGCTGCTGTGCTCCCGGAACTCCCCCAACCCCTCTCACTTCTCTGTGTCTCTCCTCAGGGCAGGCCTGGGGAGCCAGGACTAGACGTAAGTGTCTCAACGTTCACTCTGAGTGTTCTGGTCCCTCCTGTGTGTATCTTCCACCCTTACGCGGTAACCTGATCTGGCTAGCTCAAGTGCGACCCCCTTTCCCAGGGCTGGGACTGCAGCTGACTCCTGTGTCCTCAGTGCCAAGTCCAGTGCAAAGCCCAGAGTCGGTGCTTTATGGAAGGCTGGATGGATTGTTGATGGATGGATGGACGGATGAGTGGGTGGATGGATAAGGGATGGATGGATAGACGGACGGACGAGTGGATGATAGATCGATGATGGATGGACAGACGAAGGGATGATGGATGGATGATGCATTGTAGCAAGGAGGTGGGGAGAGCAGTGAGGAGCCTGTTTCAGTATCTTGGTGACACATGATAAGACTTCAGCTAGAGCAGTATCGTGAGAAGGAGAGGAAGGGAAATATTAGCCCAATGTTGAATGTATCAAGCCTTTTTCGGTAGCATAGGTAGAAAACATAGTTTAAACTGGTCTAAAATGACTTATAACTGAAAAGTCCGGAGGTTCAGCCACGGATCTCCTGTCTCTGCTTCCCCTGTGTGGGAATCATTCCCAAGCTCCATACATGGCGAGGCAGAGCCAGCCTGCATCCTGCCAGGCCCAAACCCAGAAGAAAGAACATTTGTCTCACTCTAGCATTCTAGAGGAAGTCTCCCGGGGTCTTACTGGCCCGGTCAGGTCGGCACCGCACCACGGCTTGGCCCTGGGAATGCAGGCCTGCGCGCTCGCTCAGCCCTGGAGGAGGAGGCAGTGGCTGGTGAAAGTCAGTAGCTATTGCAGGAGAGACAGTGGCCAGAGACAGGGCTGCGAGGACTCCGGCGTCCCCCCTAGACTTTAAAAAGAGAATGTTGCCTTGGAGACCGAGTGTGGACGAGGAAGAGGAAGAGCCCGGGTTTCTGACAGGGAGGGCTGTGTCCATTGGTGAGAAGGGACAGGACAAGCCTGGATCCAGTTCAGGCGCGGGTGCGGGGAGTGCAGCGGGAGACTGCGTGCCTGCACAAACGTGGCCATGGCTATCTCCTAGGAGGCCAGGAGCTCAGAGTGGCATCTCAGTGCCAAGCCTGGGACCCTCCTCAGCTCCACCAGGCCCAGCTGAAATGGGGACCCTGCTCTGATCGGAAGCTTCCTTTGAACCCCCAGCCCTGGATGGAACAGCTTTCGCCCGCCACCCTGCCACCCCTTTTCATACCTGTGTCACTGAGCACTGACCTTCGGCAGCGGCACTCTTGCCTGCCCCGTTAGACATGGGGGGACATGTCCACTGCCTTTCTCTGTCCCCAGTGTCCAGCCTAGTTCCTAGTGGGTGCTTAATCATACTGCTTGCATGGAAGGACAGATAGACGAATGGACAGACGGGTGTGCAGAAGCTGAGCCGAGGGCAGAGAATGAGAGATCGCCATTTCTCATTCTGTCGAAGCAACTTCCACGGGTTTCTGGAGTCTCTATGCCCAGCCAAGCCGAGGCCAGTGCAGCTGCGCCTGACTGCCGTGCGAGGAAGCTCCTTGCCGGCAGCTCCGCCCGGGGGCTCCCGCCCGAACAGCGACAATGGTCTGCTTTGCAGGAAGCAGAGCTGGTGTCCTAAGTGCATCGGCCTGGTACCCAGCACGTGTGTCACCTAACAGTTGGGGCCAGACCCGCTTGTGCCACGAAAATGCGTGGAGAAAGGAGGGGTGTGGACGGGAGAGGAGCAGAGATGAGAGGATAACAGGGGGGCAGGCCTGCAGCCTCATGCTCAGCCTTAACCTTGAATCCTCTCGTCAGGGCTTCCCTGGACCCCGAGGAGAGAAAGGCGACCGGAGCGAGCGTGGAGAGAAGGTGGGGGCTGGGGACAGGAGCTGGGGCAGGGGCAGGGGAGGAGAGCCCAGGATAAGAAGGCGGAGAGAAGCCGGTGGCGGGTGGCGGTGGGAGGGGGTCGCGCTGAAGCATCAGGGTGGGACTCGACTGGCTGTTGGTGCTGGAGGGTCCCGAGCCCGGAAGCCAAGGCCATACCACCATGTCCCCTCTGTGCAGGGAGAGCGGGGGGTCCCCGGCCGGAAAGGAGTGAAGGGCCAGAAGGGTGAGCCGGGACCGCCGGGCCTAGACCAGCCGTGTCCTGTGGTACGTGTCGGAGAAGGATGGCAGCCTGGCCTCATGTCTTTTCTGCCTCTGACCTGGGTCATCTTCCCTGTCCTCAGAACTCAGTTGCAAGTCCCGCGCCAGCATGCCCACACTGCCAGGGCCACCGGTGCTACTGCTGCTGCCGCCATCGTCCCAGCTCCTCCGGCTCTGGCCCTGACCCCCACCATAGGCATGGCTGGGGGACCCAGCCCCTCTGTCACTGCCCCTCATTCCTTGGCCCCAAGGCAGGGCTGGCTTAAGTGGGGACCCTTGGTGAGCCACCTTGGGCGGGGCTTGGAGAGGGGCTCGACCAGGTTCGGAGCTGCCTTTCCCGGAGTCGTCACTAAGGTCAGGGCCCGCCCGGGAGAGCGCCAGGCCCTGAGGAAGAAGCCCAGTGGCCACAGGCAAGCTGCTGAGTGCAGGGACAGTGAGCGCCCCGCCGTCGCCCCTGCCTCCCAGGTCCACAGTCTGGGTCGAACTCCCTCTGGGCTTGAGGCCAGGCGGGGCTGCAACGCAGCTTCCCCACCATGGAGGGTGGGGCCCGCTGACCTCTCTGGGTGTGTGCCTCCTCTTCCTTCCTGCCCCCCAGAAGAGCCTTTCTCTGGGCGGGGGCAGCCCAGGCTCTTCCCCAGGAGTCCTAGCTAGCCCACCGGAGCCAGTGCCTGCAGCAACCAAACCTCCTTCCTTTGTCTAGAAGGCAGGGGGGTTTACATTCCTGCTCTGCCAGTGGAGCTCAGAAAAGAGAAAAACAAAACAGCTGGGTTTCCATGGGAAAACTGGCCAGATGTCCACACGCAGCTGGGGGCCTGGGGCGAGGGGCCTCCAGCTGTGATGTGTGCAAGCCGCCCCACCCTCCGGAGGGCGTCAGGGCGGGGCCGCCTGCTACATTAGCCCACCGTTCCTCAGTTTCCTCATCCGTGCGGTGGGGCGGGAACCCCTCCCTCCAGAGGTTTTGGGAAGTAAACGAGAAAGACGTGCGAGCGGCGTGGTGGGCACACAGAAAGGGCCGGGGCAGCAGGCGGGTTAGCCCAGCCCCACAGCTCCGGGCCCTGGGCCGGGACCTCCTTCCAAGTCAGTAAGCCCTTTGTCTCCTTTGAAACAGGAGAACCCTACATGCCGAGGCCAGCAAGGCGCACTGGGCTGGCACAGCCAGGCAAGGGGCATCAGGCCCTGCCCTGCGGTAGGCGGTTGGGCCTGCTGTGTGCTGTGTGCTGTGGGGCCTTCTGGGTGGCCAGGGCCTCTACTCTGCCCCTGCCCTCCCTCCCTGCAGCCTTCCTCCCCACCTTCCCTTTGGTCCCCAGCCTGTGCCCCGGCATACACATGGGAATGTTCCGGGGGTCTGCCCCATGTGTCTGAGGCCTGTGCCTGTGTTTTGGAACAGCATGAAGTGTCTTCTGTCCCAGGGTCCCCCAGGGGCCCAGGCCGATGGGTCAGTCTTTGTTCCTCTCCAATCTCCCCACCCTCCAGGCTGCCAGCAGAAGCCTGCCCCCTGCTCGTGTGCGACTGCTCGGGTGGGCATGGCCATGCTGCCAGACAGCCCCACCCCATTCCCAGTGTCCACCCTGGCAACCCGAGCCTGCCCTGTCCTCTGCTCAGATCCCGTCACAGGGGCCAGGACAGGCCAGTGTGGGATGCATGTCCTGGGCTTAAAACACTCTAAAAGGCATTCCTGCCAAAAGCCTGAAAGCTCTCAGGCCAGGGTGAGGAGTCAGAGCCACTGTCACCGCTGCCAGGCAGGGCCCAGGCCAGGGCCCCCTCCTGGCCAGCATGTCTCTGGCACAACACGCATTCTTCCCTAGTGCCCTCTGTCCCTGCCCACTGCACAGGGTCCCAACAAAGCACAGTGGGAACACGCTCAGGACAAGCACAGTAAAGGGCCCTCATGTCCCTCGACCCTGCTGCCTGGGTGGACAGAGGAGGCATCCTAGCCCTGCCTCGGTGGGCTGCAGCAGCCTCACACAGCAGCTCCCTGGACTGCATCTTTCTACGGACCAGGGAGGGGTGTACGGCGTGTAGGTAGCCGGCCAGACCCCAGTCCCAGTCACTGAAACCTTTTTCTTTGCAGGGCCCCGATGGGCTGCCCGTGCCTGGCTGCTGGCACAAGGTACCTTGCTGGGAAGAGTCTCTGTGGCAGGCTCGGGGGAGTGGAGCGAGGATGGGGGATGGGAGGGCTCACGCGGAGTTCTGGGCGTCTGCACAGCGACTGAATAGCCAGGTTTCCCGTCATGACCCTGGTCGTGACTCTCCCACCATGTGGTCTTGGGTGAGTGTGCGTAACCCACCTGTTGGGCACACTAGGGCTCAGCTGACACCTGGCCCAGCCAGTGCAAAACCATCAGTGCCTCCTGGGACTTGGTCCAACCTGCCCCGCTGAGAGGGAGTGGAGGTAGAGAGAAGAGAGGGAGGAAAGGAGGGGCCCCACGGGTTCCTGAGGACATGGGCAGGATGGGGTGCTGGAGCAGGGTGGCCTGGATGCGAGTGGGGCCAGAGGGGTCTCTGGGCCCCTTGTCACCTTCAGTCTCTCCTCCTTTTCCAGTGACCCCAGACCCAGCTCACGCCTGTACAGATCTGCGTGGACGTTTTTAATTTTTGTAAAAACAAAACAGTAATATATTGATCTTTTTTCATGGGATGTGCCGCCTGTGACCTTTTAACATTTGAGAGTGTGCCCACCCAGCCCAGCACCACCAGCACGTGACGCTGCAGGAACGTGGACAGGCCCATCTGGGGGCAGCTGGCCCTGAGGGCCCCCAGGGGACTTGGCTTTCCCAGGAAGGAGACGAAGGTGAAAGCACCTGCTCGGGACAAGCTGGAAAGGTCCTGGCTGGGCCTTCGGCCGCCTGATCAGCAGAGGGACTCACAGCTGTGGCGCGGCCCTGCAAGAGCCGCCCCTCGAAGCTCTGGAGCCCCCGGCACACACCGCAGCCAAGAGGGCCTAGGGCTTGGCAGCAGCTGCAGCTGGACCCAGCCACAGCCAGCTGCCCATACGCTCGAACTCCCCAGACAAGACTCCCGCCAAGCACTTGCAGCTGGACCTGGGGCACAGTCAGTAGAAAGCACCCGAGGGTCTAGCTCCCACCCAGTTCAAGAGGCCTCAGGACACCAGCTGCCATGAGAACGCATGTCCTCTGGCCAAGATTAGTGGCCAAGCTCTGTGATTGCTGTCGGGGATGGAGAGTCCCAGGCTGGACTGGCTGCTACTTCCTGTCTCCGTGTCTACATCAGCCAGAGCAGAGAAGGGACGGGGTTTTGCCTGGCCTGAGCAGGCAGGCCTCCAGCTCAGAGTCTGGGTCTCGCTGGCCCCACCTCTTCCACCCATTGCTCTGGCCAGCCTGCCAGACATGGTTCTCCTGGTGATTTGTGCAGGCGACACGAACCTCAGGGCCGGTTCCTAGCTGGCCTGCCTGAGCAAGGGGGCTGCGGCCAGAGCTGCCTACACTCTGACAAGAGGCTATTCCACCTCTAACAAGCATTCTCAGCAACCAGCTCTGTCCCAGCCACTCATCTCCCATTTCTGTGTAGATGGCTGTTGCTGCACGTAATAAACCACAAGTGTGTGTCTGGCCGTGCCTGTCCCTGTGGACTGCCCCTGGGGCACCTCCGGCTGAGGTTTCATCCTGGCCATTACTGCGTAGGGAGGGTAAAGGGGACCTCCCTGGGTCCGAGCCTCCCAGAAACCGGAGGAAGTAGTTCAGGATAGAGGCAAAGACAGGATTTGGAGTTAGGAAGATGCAGACTCAAGACCTGGTCCCTCCACAAGCAGCACTTCATGTCGCTGAGCCCCCGTGTGCTCCTCTGTGTTGGTTACCAGACTGCTGCGTAACAATCACCCCAAAACTTGTCACCAAGAAACAATGATCATTGCTGTTTCTTACGGGTTCTGGGCGTTAAGTTCTCCCACATCTGGTGGTTGACACTGGCAGTAGCTGGGGCCTCAGATGACCAGACCACCTACCAGTGGCTTCTTCACGTGGCCTGAGCTTCCTCACGGCATGGTGGCTGGATTCCAAGGGGGAATGTCCCAGGGGGACCAGGTGCGAGCTGTGGCACCTTCTATGGCCAAGCCTCAGCAGTCACATGGTGTCGCTTTCTGCCAGATTAGAGGGGAGCGAGATAGATCCTACCTCTCGATGGGAAAGTATCGACATCATACTTTCAGGAGAAAATGTGGAGTAGATCTCGCTGCAGCCATGTCAGCAGATGCAAGCTGCCCCTCACTGCGAGCTGGGATGGCAGTGCTCGCCCCGCAGCCTGCGGCTCAGTGAGGCTCAGCTGCACGAAATCCATGAGAACCCAGGACAGGTCAGGCACCCAGGAACGCCCAGGATTCTGATTTTTCTCTCTCCTCCCAACCCCAAGACCAAGCAAGGGCCACAGTCTTGCAAAGCATTTCCACATCTCCCATCACAGCTGGTTCTTATAACCCTAAGAGAGTGACCCGTTTCACAGATGATAAAACTAAGCACATCCAAGGTGGTGTAGACAAGAAAGGGTCTGCCATGATGGTGTCTCTGACAGTAACTGTGCATCCCCCTAGAAGTCTCTAAGGACAGGCCTAAGGAAGGCCAATGGACGGGTAGTCCCCGCCAGACCTCTGCCGCACGGCCCCCTTGCTAAGCAGAAGAGGCTCAACCACACACTGGCTAAGGAGGGAGGAATATGTTGAGACCGTCCTCTGTCTCCCTAAGGAGCTGGCCATAAGTGGCAGGCCATGCCGCTCGGCCAGCTATCTGGGTCACCAGGGAAGCCAGTAGTGGGAAAAGGAAGAGAAACACAGCGCAGCTGTGATGACCGACGGAGCTCCCTGTGTGTCAACACCTGTAGAGTGCCAGCATAGCCTCACGAATCTATGCACTCTACAGTTTGCAGTTCCCTCCTCCCTCCACCCAGGAACCTCACTTGATCCCCTCACCAACCCTGTCAAAGATGGGGCCTATGTGATAGGTGTCACTATTTCATTTTACATATGGGAAAACTGAACCTCAGAGGGGGCAGTCACCTGCCCAGGGATGCACAGCCAGGATGTAGTAGCAGGCTTGGGACTGGACCCAAGCTCTCGGATGTCCTCTAATCTCTTTACAAAATTGTTTGGCAGGGCATGGAATCTGGTAGACAGCCCCATGACACTGGGCGGCTGGCAGGCAGATCCTTGTGGGGGCGGTTAGAAGCCACATGTCCCCCCTTCCCCAGTCATCTGAGAGGGTTTCTGTCCTGCTCCTTTGGTCAAGATGGGGCATTCTTGGCCCACTGCTGCCCCCCTCTGGCATCATACCTTATATCCTCAGGCCTGCAAACTTTTCAACTGCAAACTTCAAAATTTAGAGCCTGCTGAGTCCTCAAAGAGCCTGGGGGGAGGACAGACAGACAAAGAGGAGTCAGTGATTTGCTCAAGGTCCCAGCTGACACACTTGGGAGTGCCCTGCCTCACAGCTGAGCCTCAAGGAGTGGAAAGTCTCAGGTCTGCAGCCAAGAACGGCAGCTCAGCTTCAAACTACCCCCTTCCAGAAGACAGAAACTGAGCCCTGCTGTGTGCCATGACAGCTAGAGTAGCCACAAGGACAACTATCCCCTGGTACAGATAAATCTGTGGCCTGACAAAACTGGGCTTACCTAGGTCTCCTTCCTGGTCCCTAGGAGATCGCTAGAAATGCACAGGATGCTTTTGGTTGTCACAATGATTGGGGGACACTCCTGGCATTCAGTGGAGGGAATGAGGGATATCAAACACCTGAAATGCATAAGACAGTCCTACTCAGCGATGACTCAGCTCAGAAAGAATGCCAGGGCCACCCCGGCTGAGAAACACTATGCCCTGGGTTCAAATCTTGGCTGAGCCCTTCCAGCCATCCCCCTCCTCCTCTCCCCTCCTTCCCCTCCCTTGGCCTCCAATGCTGCCTTGAGACCATGGACAGAGGAGTGCTTAGCAGGGGGCCCAGGCAGGAAGGTGGGGGGGCTTTCTGAGCAGAAGGAAGGTGAAGCCTCCTGGTGTTACACTGCCCCCTGCTACAGACACTCTTGGCCCAGGAAATGGCCCCGCCTGGTCTGACTTCCAACTATATTGCCTCTTAACCCTGGACGTCCCAGGAGCAGGTGAGATGTTAGCTGGGCCCTGCTATAGCCTTCTCACCCTTTACCCCAAGGCAGGAAAACCCCCTGAGCCAACGGGAATTCTCTGAGTTGCCCTGGGCCGCAGCTGTGGCTGGAGTTTGGGTTGCAAGACAGAGTTGAAGATGGGCCCCAAACAGGACTCTCAGACTCCCTCTACACACACACACACACACGCACGCACGCACGCACGCACACACACACGTTATATTAAAGCTGGGACCGCAGAGCGTAGAAGCACCACGGTGTCTCCACCAAAGCGGAGAAGCCGACACACGGAGAAAGCAGGGACCACTGTCCCACTCACACGCACAGGGTCTGTGAGGCCTTGATCCTCAGAAAAGAAGTACAGGCCACAAGCAATTAACCTCTCTGTTAATTTGGGAGGAATATTTTCGATAATCATCTAAAAGGTTCAGTTCAGCTTTACAACTGAAATCCCACTCGGTTCGGGATGATGAGAAAGTTCTGTTGCGTGGATGGTGGCGATGGTTGCACAACAATGTGAATGTAATTTTGCCACTGAATTGTGTCCTTAAAAATGGCTAAAATGGTAAATTCTGCTATATATATCTTACCATAATAAAAAAAAATAAGAAACTCCAAATGTTCTTTAATAAATGCGTTAAGCATTTTCCAATTTTATTGGGGAAAACAAATCAGAATAAGGGAGTGCCGCAGAGGACTGGGAATCACGACAAGAGAGACAGAAAAGGAGGGACAAGCAGGAGGAGCCTCCCCTTGTTACAGCAAGTGGTCCCGAGGACAAACCGAGCGGCACACGGAGAGTCGGAGAATCAAAGTTTATTCGCCGGTGGGCTCAGAGGGGCCTCGCCACCAAATTCTGAGCCCCGTCCACCCGATTTTTCCCACTTTTATTGAGTTGAGGTGATCCGAGGGGTGGGATATCAGGTGGCCAATGCCTGCCAGGCAATAGATTAGTTGATGTGTCAGGTAATAGGTTAATATTATGTTGCTACACCAGGTAATAGGGTAGCTGATGCGCCAGGTAGTAGGTTTAGTGTTATGCTGATGTGTCAGGTAATAGATTAGTTGATGGGCCAGGTAATAGGTCAGTATTATGCTGATGTGGGTCTTCCGTGAGGGGTGGGGGTCTCAGGTGGCTGATGTGCCAAGTAATAGATGGGGGTTTTCCTTATCACCCTCCCCAGGCCTGCTTGGGGTACAGCCCCAGGCCCTTGCTCTACAGCGTTTGTCAGGGTAGAAAGTCCCAGTGTCCCACCCCAGGAGGGGTATCTCTCAGCTTCCAGCCCATTGGAGGCCTTTTCTTCTCACTCCCGGGGCTGGAAGTCAAGCAGACCCCAGGGGGAGTCAGGCCTCTGCAGCAGACGTGCTGTGTCTGACGACAAAGCCCTTTCCCTTTCTGGGCCTGTGTCCTGGACATGTACAACAGGGCTCAGGAGGCTTTCCAACGCTCTTCCTGCCTCAACCGCATGGTTTTCTTAGCATTGATACACCTCGCGTCCGCCCTGCCTGGATTCTAGCAGTCACCTTGGTGCCCTGCAGACCGAGCCCACGTGATCTCTTGGCCAGCCCCAGCAGCGGCCGGCGCCGCTTCCCCTCCACCGAGCTGGGAAGGCCCTAGGTCCTGCCCGAGCACAGCAATGGCTTGCTTGCTCTGGCGCCCCTGCTGCGTTCCCAGCCCTGGGCTGGGTGCCAGTCACACACTCCCGTTTAACCTTCAAGGTGCGCCCCATTTTATGCGCGGGGAAGGGGGCTCAAAGACTCAGCCCGACCCGGGCGAGGCCTGCGGGAGCTCAGAAACACGCCCGGGTGCCGGACGCAGCCGCGAGGTCGCCCGGGGACACTTCCCCTGGAAGGAAAACCAGAGAGGCCTGGAAGGGCGAGGCCCAGGGCCGGGGCAGCTCTCGGCAAGGCGAGCACAAACCCTGCTCCCGCGCGCGACTGCCAGGTCAGGGCCCCGGGGCGGGGAGGCTGCCAGGCCCGTTTGACGAATGAATACAAGAGCGAAAGCAAAGCGGGCGCGGGGCGGGACCGGCGGGCGGGCGGGGCGGGGCGCGGCGACCGTGCGGGCGGGGGCAGCGGCGCCATGGCCGCGGCGCGGCGCGCGAAGGCCGACACGCTGGCGCTGCGGCGGCGGCTCCTCAGGTACCCGGCCCGCCCGCCGGGCCGGATCGCGACTCCGGCCCCGGAAGCTGGCGGCGCGGGCGGTCGCCACGGCCTCCCCGCAGTGCCATCTCCCGCCGCCCCTCGGCGCGCCCCGCGGCCTGGAGCCCGCCCCGGCGCGCGCCGCCCCGTCTCTGGCGTCCCGCTCGGCGCCTTCGCCCTGGCGCCCGGGAGCGCGGCGGCCGGTCGACAGGACCTGGGCCCGGCTTGAGGGGACCCGGGAAGGGGCTGAAGGGTCAGGCGAGGTTGGGGGCGGGGCGGCCGTCTCCCAGCGGCCCTGGAGAAAGTCTGCGCTCGGCGGGAGCGGGGCGCTGCGTGGGGCGTGGCGGCGGGTGACGCAGCCTCCCGCCGGAGCTCGGGCCGGCGCCCAGCAGGGCCAGCCCCTAACGCGGGTGCCCTCCGTGCCACCCATCCCGGCAAGGAAACGGCCTTACAGAGCCTTGGTGGGTCTGGGGCAACCACCTTGTCCCAGGATCCAAGGGACTGATGTGGGCACGTGCAGAAATGAGCAAGGCCACAGAGGCGTAGCATGACTTAAGAAACCATTTTAAGCATCAGCGACTTCTTACCCCCACCGTTTCCTCCTTTGCAGCCACATACGGAGTAGGGAGACGAGACAGGGAAGCAGCACCTTGCCCTTCACGCTTCTGTCCTTTCCGCAAACCGGGAAGGCGTGGGGGAGGCCTGTGATGGTGGACTTCCCCCTTCAGGTTTTCAGACATGGCTGTCCACTGCTTGCCTGTCCCCACAGCTCTTCCTGCAGACTCTTTTTTCCTGAGGATCCTGTTAAGATTGTCCAGGGCCACGGGCAGTACATGTACGACGAGCAAGGGGCAGAGTACCTCGACTGCATCAACAACGTGGCTCACGGTCAGTATCACACCTCGGGCCGGCAGGGGAGGAGAGGAGGCTGAGGCTGTGAGCCTGGTCCCAAGGTGACCCTGAGGTTGCAGAGAAGTGTAGAGAAGCTCGGTGGAGCTGAGGCAGCACCCGTGTGCAGAGGAGGCCCAGTCTTTGTGATGCAGCTATAGAAGGCTCCAAGCTGAAGCTGTGCAAAGCCAGGCAGAAGTCAGAGATCTAGGTCTGTGGGGCCAGTTCCACTTGGGACTGATGACGAGCTCAGAGGGTGGCGAACAGCCCAGATACGACCAGCAACGCAGCGTGTTGTCAGTGTCATGGCAGGGTTTCCTCCCGACTGACCATCTCAGGTGCCGGGCAAGGAAACTGAAGTCGGAACTCAGTCCTCTGGACGGGGCTGCCAGAGCTGATGGAAGGAAAGGCAGGCCGAGACTCAGCAGAGGTTCAGAGCAGGGGTCTAGTCCCAGACGGCCTGGGCTCAGGTCCCTGTCCCCCACTTAGTGACTCTGTGGTCTTGGGCAAGTTACTTAATTATTTGTGCCTCAGTTTGTTCATCTGTAAAATAGACATCATAATACTAGGTACACACCTCAAGGTGTTTGGGAGAATTAAGTGTGTTAATTCACGTAACTTGCTTTGAATGTGCCTGGCACGTGGTGAGCTCTCAATTTATGTTCACTGTTGTCATTATCCTTGGCCTCTGGCGCTCAAGATTATCTCCAGCCCCCACTGGCTGGTGAAGTCAAACCCGTTGACAACGGTTACCTCCCACCCCGTCCCTTTATCAAGCAGAAGGCCTCAAGAGGCCTCCTTAATGACATGGGCTAGATCGGGTATCTGCCAGAGAACCTTTTCCTTCTGCCAGAATCTCAGGGACTCCTTTTCTAGGGCTCCCTTTCCAGAACTGGCATCTCTCTCCCCGCTCTGCCTTCACGCTCCCCTCGACACCTCTCCCTCCCTGTGTCTCCCGGCGGGGCTTACAGCTTGGGGCTGGGGGAGGCCTGGTGGGACCGGCCGAGCAGACTGGCCGTGTGATGGAGGTGGCCCTCTTGCAGTGGGGCACTGCCACCCTCTCGTGGTCCAAGCAGCACATGAACAGAACCAGGTGCTCAACACCAACAGCCGATACCTGCATGACAACATCGTGGATTACGCGCAGAGGCTGTCAGAGACCCTGCCGGAGCAGCTCTGTGTGTTTTATTTCCTGAATTCTGGGTAAGTGGACTGCCGCCAGCCCCCAGCAAGAGGGTGAGACGACGACAGAGTCGCCCACGTGGGCCCAGTGTAGGGTAGCCGACCAAGTGTGCACCCCAGGAAGAGGCAGCCCTCGCTGCACCAGGCTCCTGCGCGTCCCCGCCGGGCACCCTGGTGCCTTTTCTGTCGGATCCGGTTTCCTTGTCTCTTAGTAAAGGATGCCATTCCCTCCCCTCCAGGACCATGTGGGGGCTTAATGAGCTAATACGCTCCTTTATTTCTGCCTTATGGATACAGTCAGATTCCCCTCTCTCACCTTGCTCAGTGAGGAGCAAAAGCATCAAGTGATTCTGCAAAGAAATACAGAATTACAAAGAGGGCCATTGTCTGGAGGAAGAGCACAGGGTATAGCGAGGCCCGGAGCTACAGGGGGCACCTGACCTGTTCTGGGAGCGTCAGGGAAACCTTCCCTGAAGAGGTGATGCCGAGCCAAGAGCTGACTAGGAGATAAGGGGGAGAGGAAGAAGGAACGGTACTGCCCGCTCTAGCAGATGTACTCCTGTCAAGGTTGGTCACCACATGGAACAGCCTGTGCAAAGGCCCTGCAGCAGGAAGGGGCGTGGTACCCTGGCTCACTTGAACTGAAGGAAGGCCAGTGGGGGAGAGGGGAGGGTTCGAGTTGACACTGGGGAGGGAGGCAGGACCCCACGGCTCAGGGCCCTATCTCCCAGCCAGGGAGCTGTCTTTATCCTGAGAGCACTGGGACACCATTGGAGGGCTTTAATCAGGGAAGCGATCTGGGCAGGGGGAGAGCAAGAGTGGACACTGTTAGGTGCCAGTTCAGCGGCTTTCGCTGGAGTAGCAGTGGAAACAGACGGGCAGATGATCACAGCATATCTGGGAGCACACATTACAACAAGTCGCAGGTAGTGGCGTTTAGAGTATAGTAAAGATTACTGTTACCGTTGCCGTTTGCATACTGCGTTCATCAACCCCCCACATAATTTCTAGGAGGTGGAATGTACCATTTTCGTCTTACAGATACGGAAACAGCAGCTCAAAGGGAGGAACTAGCTTGCCCAGGGCCACCCACCAGGAGCCGGTGGAGCCAGAACTGTAACTTCTCTGGGCAGAGCAGGGAGCTGGGTGCAGGAGCCAGCCCTTCCTCAGCGGTGGAGGCAGGGACACTTGCTGGCGGACTCCACCAAATGTATCCTGTGTGGATTCCAGTGACTTCCGTGTCGCCAAACCCAGGAATCTCTTTGCTGTCTTGTTGTACTCTGTCTCTCAGCTGTGATTGACAGTCAGCTCTGTCTGGAAACGCCTTCTCCCCACACTCCCAGGGTGCCGAGCGCTCCTGGATTTCTGCCAGATTCCCTGGCCACTCCTGCCCAGTCTCCTGTGCTGCCTCCTACTCCTCTGTTCCTCGGGGCTGCTCCTGGGCCATTTTCTCTCTGAGCCCTCTCCTTACGTGATCCCTTCCGTTCCCTGGGTGTTGTTAAATATCACATACTGGTGATTCCCATGCCCAGACACTGCCCACGTGTTCCAGACTCAAGGTTCTAACTGCCCTTGTGACATCTGACGAACATCTCCAACTTCACGTGTCCCAAAGACAAGCAAGAGCTGGTGGTCTTCCACTAACGCCTGGTGTGGGACCATGGCACTGTTCTCCCTGGCGCTCCCAGACACCCACCCCAGAGCTGCCCAAGAACACCGTCCACCCCCGCCCTCCACCCCATTGTGCCCAGTAAAGGGAATTACCGTCTGTGCCTCTGCTCAAGGCAGAAGCCGCACACACACGGCCCTGCACCGTCCCGCCTCGTCCATCTCCAGGATGTCTCTTACCCACCCACCTCCCTCCATCTCCGTGGCACCGCCTGCTCTCACCTGGGCACCTCCTCTCAGGTCTTCTCACTTCTGCTTTCGCTCCCTTCTCCTCCATTAGACACAGCCAGAGGCTGCCTCCTAAAATGGGAGCTGAGCCACGTCCCTTCTCTGATTAACACTCTCCAGTGGCATCACATGGCACTGAGAAGAAAAGCCAGGTTCCTTCCTAGCCCTGTGAATGTGACCCCTGCGTGTCCCCACTTCCTGCCCTGCCCTCCTTGGGCCCAGGCCTTGCGTGTCTTCTCTTGGGTTCCTGAGTACACCGAGCTCTTTTCCTTCACGGGACTTTGTGCACACTGCTTCCTCTGCCTGCAAACCGCTCCCTCGGGACCCAGGGCCACTGTTGTGTCCTCACAGAGGCCTTCCCTGCCCCTCTGTGTTGGTCTGCTAGGGCCGCCATAGCAAAATACCACTGCCCGGGTGGCTTAAACAACAGAAATTTATTTTCTCAGTTCTGGAGGCTAGAAGTCTGAGATCAAGGTGTCGGCAGGTTGGGTTTCTTTTGCGCCCTCTCTCCTTGGCTTACAGACAGCCGCCTTCCTGCGGTGTCTTCACATGGCCTTGTCTCCTGCGTACACGGGCCCTTGCTGTCCCTCCGCGTGTCCAGAGTTCCTCCTCCCATGAGAACCCCAGTCTGCTTGGGTGCAGGCCCACCCTAATGACCTCGTCTTAACCACATCACCTCTTTAAAGGCCTTGCGTCCAAATACAGTCACATACACAGGCCATTCTGAGGTACTGGGGGTTAGGGCTTTGACATAGGTTTTGGGGGAACACAGTTCAGCCCTAACACCCCCCTGTCTAAAGTAGCCCCCCCCCCGTTCTTCTCCCTTGGCCCATGTATCCATTGTAGCACTTATCAAAACAATCGCTCTTTCTTTGTCTTTTGGCTTTCATGACACGTAGTAGAATGTAAGTTTCAGGAGGGCCAGGGCCTGTCTGTTTTACCTACTGTTTTGCCCCCAGCTCCTAGCACGAAGGAGGCGTTTGACAGCTACCAAGTGATTATCTGAATGATGTCTGAGAATCTTCTTCCAGCTGGGAGGGCTCCTGCCCTCAAGGTGTCTCTGTGGGAAGCTCCTGGACACCTGTCTGAGCTGTGCCCACCTTCTCGGTCACAGGTCAGAAGCCAACGACCTAGCCCTGAGGCTGGCCCGCCAGTACACAGGACACCAAGACGTGGTGGTGTTAGACCAGTAAGTACAAGTCACGGCCCTGCCACTTCCAAAAGCCTAGGCCACAGGCTTATTGGGGATCAGTGAGGCTTTAGCTTTGGGTGCCTTAGGTAGGGAGGATGAAGGGCCTAGGCCATTGAAGGGGAGTGGGGCAGGCAGAGGACCCCAGAGACACCTCCTTGGAGGCTCTGTCCCTGGGCCACTGGGAGGGGAGGGCAGCTTCTGGGGAGCAGAGAGTGTTTTATAAGGGAGTCAGAGTTGGTCCCACAACCTTTTGGATGTTCAGACTGTTCCAACAGTAGCTTCCATGTGTTGAGTACCTGTTAGTGTAAGACCCAGGCCCGGGTTTAGAGCATCACCACATTTAAGGTGCATTAGAGTCTTGAAGGAGAAATCTCCCAATTTTACAGAAGAGAAAACTGAACCCAGAGAGGTGAAATCAGCGGTCCCCAACCTTTTTGGCACCAGGGACTGGTTTTGTGGAAGACAAGTTTTCCACAAACGGGGGTGGGGGTGGGCGGCGAGGCAGCAGCAGCGGAGCTCTGCAGCCCAGGCCTAGGGAGCGCAGGGTTCGGTGATTAGCCTCTGTCGTGCAGGCAGCAGGCGGCCTTGCAGGAAGTGCTGCTGACCCCAAGGCCCACCCTGTTTCCCAGCCACGGACTCGGGGGCTGTGTCAGATCAGAAGAGTTGGCCTCCCCCACGTCTTCGGAGGTGGGTGGACAGTGGTCAGGGCCAGGCCGGGGCGTGTGTCCCGCTTGGCCTGAGCCCACCTTCTGTGCTCCCCAGTGCCTACCACGGTCACCTGAGCTCCCTGATTGACATCAGTCCCTACAAGTTCCACAACCTGGACGGCCAGAAGGAGTGGGTCCACGTGGTACGCACTGCCCAAGTTGCAACAGGTTGGTGCCCACCCCCACGCCCGGATGACACGGTGCTGTCACTCCCCACAGGCACCTCTTCCAGACACCTACCGAGGCCCCTACCGGGAGGACCACCCCAATCCAGCTGTGGCCTATGCCAACGAGGTGAAACGCGTGGTCAGCAGTGCACAGGAGAAGGGCAGGAAGGTAACCACGTCCACACCTGTCCAGTCAATCAAAGAGTGCACGTCATCTCCGTTGTCACTTCCAGTGTGCCAGGTGCTGGGAACCCAAAGAGAAAGCAAACCGAGGCCCTCGAGTAGGGGTGGTGGTGGAGGGGAGTAAGGGGCTCAGCAGGGGGTTGTCCACTGGCGAGAGCCCGGGCAGAGACACATCTGGGTGTCTCACAGGCGGCCAGGGCCCAGGTGGGCTGGTGTGGGTATGCAGGAGATGCCACCTGGCCAGTGAAGAGTAGGGCTAGCCATGCCCGGGAGGAGGGGAGTGGCAGAGGAGAGACATCCCGAGAGCGGACAGCTGGCACGGAGGGGAGGAAGCACGCGAGGGCATGACCCGGCTGAGGGAGACCAGCCGGGCGCAGGCAGGACTCGGGGTCAGAGGACCCGGCGCTGCGCTGAGCAGCTAGGCCGCCCCTTCCCTGCGGGCTGCACGATGGGGAGGCCTGACGGGCGGCGCGGCAGAGGGGCGGAGGCAGGAGAGGCACGTCACCCATGGTGACAGTAAAGGGAGGCTGTTAGCAACTGGCAGAGGGCTTTCTCTGGAAGGCTTCACCGACGGGGCGGTGGGGCCAAACGAGGGTGTGTGATAAGGGGGGGCAGGCCCCGCAGGGGAGCCCAGCCTGTGTGTTTCAGAGGCCGTGCAGCCACTTCCATAAAACCTAAAAAGAAAATTTCTCTGGTCACAACAGGGGTAGAGGGCCAGTTTCCCATCCCATCAGCCCTTCCCTTCCCCAGCAGTGGCCTCTGAAGCAGCCCTAAGGCAGAGCACAGTTGGGAAGTCATTGCTGTAAGCAAAAGGGGTCACTGTAGGGTTTTAAACAGGACAGAGGCATTACCCCTGTTGCCCCATGGCAGATGGGCTGGAAGAGGTGTCCAGTTAGAAGGCATCTGCGGGAGCAAGACAGGCAGGTCGGCCGGGAGGCAGGTGTGTCCAGCCAGAGCTGACCAATGGGGTGCAGGAGGGAGGGGTGTGGTGCTGGTCACCAGAGAGGGGACAGGGAAGGAACAGGCTTATGGCAGAGAAATCCGTGAATCTAGTTTAGGGCATGCCAAGTAAGTACAAGCAGTCTGGAGGCATCCAGATGGTTTGAGGCCTGAAAGAAAACTGAGGCACAAACCCTCAGGTGTGATATGGAGCCCGAAGTAGGGGCTCAGCAATGGTGATGACTTGTCCTGGTTGGACCAGCTCCGAGCGGGCACCAGCGTGGCATGCTGGGCTGGTCACTCAGCACCTCTGTGGTAACATTCCCGACGTCCATCTCGTCCACAGATTGCAGCCTTCTTCGCTGAGTCTCTGCCCAGTGTGGGAGGGCAGGTCGTCCCCCCTGCCGGCTACTTCTCCCAAGTGGCAGAGTGAGTAGGTGGTCTGCCCTACGGAGGGCAGGGCTGTAATGGGGTTTCCCAACCTCTTCCAATCCCAATCCCAATCCCAAATCAGCCTGGTCCGCTAGCCAGAATTTTGAGACAAAGCCCTTAAAGAAATAATGACCCAGAGAAGACCAACCATTTGCCCAAGACCCCCCACCTACTGCTGACAGAGCCAGGATTCAGCCCCAAGATCTCCTGACTCCTGGTCCCATCTCCCTCCCCACAGCCCCCCATCAGCCATCTGTCCTCTGCCGCAGGCACATCCACAGGGCTGGAGGGGTCTTTGTCGCAGATGAGATCCAGGTTGGCTTTGGCCGAGTAGGCAAGCACTTCTGGGCCTTCCAGCTGCAGGGAGAAGACTTTGTCCCTGACATTGTTACCATGGGCAAGTCCATTGGCAACGGCCACCCTCTTGCCTGTGTGGCCACAACCCAGCCTGTGGCAAGGGCATTTGAAGCCACCGGTGTCGAGTACTTCAACACGGTAAGTGATGGCACCAGAATAGGGGAGCAACGTGGGTTCTGATAGGCCCCAGGAGATCAGCAGAGGCCCCGGGACTAGCACTGTGCCCAGCATGAAGACCCAAGACACCAGCCTTGGAGAAGTTCGGCCAAGTCAGATCATCAAAGCAGTCTGCTTTGTAGGTCTCTAAGCAGACAGTGCTCCCAGCCTGAGCGGGCACCCCCCCCACCCTTCAATGGAATCAGGGCCTGGCTGAGTCTTAGCAAAGCAACTGAGGTCTGAGGCATGAGGATCATCTATTAATATTAGGTTATTAACACATTAACTGCCATGTGAGTTGTATTTAACTCAGGCTAGTTTTGAGCCCGGGGCCTTGTGAAGCATATGTAACTCATGTCTCTTCACCATGGGCGCCCTGTGAACTATTTTTCAAGTTGCATACAACTCACACACAGAAAACAATACAAAATAACAAATTTTTCATTAAATTAGAAAGGATCATTTTGTTTTCTAAGTTTTTATTCTGTTTTCATAATAAAACACCGTGGCCCCGAGGAAAATTTTTTTTCTAGTGTAGTCAGATCAAAAACATAAAACACCAGCCAGGCGCGATGTCTCACGCCTGTAATCCTAGCACTCTGGGAGGCCGAGGTGGGAGGATTGTTTCAGCTCAGGAGTTCGGGACCAGCCGGAGCAAGAGTGAGACCCTGTCTCTACTAAAAATAGAAAGAAATTAGCTGGACAACTAAAAATATATAGAAAAAATTAGCCGAGCCTGGTAGCGTGTGCCTGTAGTCCCAGCTACTCGGGAGGCTGAGGCAGGAGGATCGCTTGAGCCCAGGAATTTGAGGTTGCTGTGAGCTAGGCTCCTGAGCTCAAGCAGTCCCCCCGCCTCGGCCTCCCAGAGTGCTAGGATTACAGGCGTGAGCCACTGCACCCAGCCCCATGCTTCTTTCCTTGCATGTTTTATAATTTTCTGTTGAAAGCTGGACATTTTAAATAATGTAATGTGGCAACTTTGGAAATCATATTCTCTTCCCTCCCCATGATTTGTTGTTGCTTTTTTGTTGTTGTTTGTTTAGGGCCATTTTTGAACTAACTCTGTAAAGTCCGTGTTGTCATGTGTGGCCACTCTAGTCTCTACTTGGTTAGCTTAGTAGGTCATCTAAGGATTGGACAGAGAGCTCCTTAATTACCTTGAACCAGTAAGCCCCTCAGCCTGGAGTTTAAAACTCCACCTGAGCCTTTACTTCCTCATTCAGAGCCTCAAAATAGCCCGTAGGGAGAGCTCAGGGCTTTTCAGGACTTTGCTGAGTACACACAGCACGGGGTGTGAGCAGATCCCTATGCACAGGAATGGCCTTCTAGATTCCCAGGAATGTATCAGAGCCTTTCAAAGCCCCCTGTAGACGTCTCATGGTGACAGAAAGCAGGTCAGTGGTTACCTGAGGCCACTAGTAAGGTGGGTGCACAAGGAACTGTGGAGCGTGAGGGAAACATTCTGCAGTTTCACTGTGAGGGGGGTCCCCCAGGTACGTACATCTGTCACATCACAACGAACTTTACACTTTAAACATACACAGTTTGGCGTGGGGTTCTTTTTTGCTCAGACCTTACAGGGCTGAATAACATGCACAGTTTATTATAAGTAAATTATACCTCAATAACGTTGACTTTTTAAAAAAAGATGTAGTTTAGAAACAAATAAAAACCTGGTCTGCAGGAGACACCGGCTCCTGCTCCTCTAAAATGCAGGTCCTGACTCAGACGCTGCGGGCGGGGCAGGGAGGTGAGCGAAACACTGGGTGTCTGAAGGGAAGCACCGCGCTGGGCGTGGATAGCCAGAAAGGCCAGGCTTGGTTTAAGTCACAGATGCAGATTTGTGTGTGTGAAGTTTCATTTTAAATTGTTAGCACCTAATTCATAACTTTAAAATAAGGCCATATAAGCCAAACAAAATGAGTCCACAGGCCGGACATGGCTCCCAGGGCCCTGCAGTCTGCCCTGGGCTCAGCCAGCAGCACTGCGAACTCATGCCACACAGAGTGGCTTCCCTAGGGCACTCTGGCACGCTGCTCCTGACCCTCCTTGAAGGGATGGGAACTAGTCCATTGCTATGGGTCTGGGCCCAGCCAGTGAGATGGGGCCCTAATGCCTCTCTTGGCAAAGACTAGCTCTGCAGGAACACATGGTACACCCTCTCCTCAGATTCCGCATCTTCTTGGGGCTCCTGCTGCACCCCTGGGGATGTGGCCTGGGTTACAGTCACATGAGCACCTAGAAAGCCAAGACAGCCTACGGAGGTCTCCAGAGAACCCCATGTACTGCCAGTGACGATGATCCCTGAGGGGTTCTGGCCCTGTGCTCTTGTCACTGCCCTTGGAATATGTGCAGCAGTTCTCCTACCCTCATCCTCCCTGGGGTTCGGCCCACTCATTCTGCTGGGCGTCTGACATGTCCTTTGTCCTTGGCTCAGTTTGGGGGAAGCCCAGTGTCCTGCGCTGTGGGGCTGGCCGTCCTGGACGTCTTAGAGAAGGAGCAGCTCCAGGCTCATGCCGCCCATGTGGGCAGCTTCCTGATCGAGCTTCTCAGGCAGCAAAAGGCCAAACATCCCATCATCGGGGACATCAGGTGAGGCTCCGGGGGCAGTAGTCACCACCTACCTGCCATGCATCATTTTCTTTCACCTCTAGCAACCTGGAATGGTGGCAATTTTTATGTCCACTTTCCAGAGGAGGAACTGAAATAGGGAGGGGAAAGCCAGGACACCACCTGAGCCCAACCTCCTTCCTCTGTCCACACCAAGGACCCTTCCATTTCCCAGTTACTTCTTCAAACTGTTTTCACCACCCTCCGGAGGCTCCTCCTGCTCTCAGCCTCCCCAGAGGCACACAGCAGAGCCCTAGTGGGCTTTCCAAAGGAGGGCTCGGTGAGGGCCCAGCAAGAGGGTGAGTGAGGACCATGGTCCCTCAGGCCTGGCCCCTGAGATATCACCTTGCCCTCCAGGGGTGTTGGGCTCTTCGTCGGTGTGGATCTGATCAAAGATGAAGCCACAAGGACACCAGCAATGGAAGAGGCTGACTACTTGGTATCCAGGTATTTTTTTCTTGAAGCAAATTGCCTTCTAGAGTAGGAGACACCACAGGTGCCTCTTTGAAAGCCTGGACCTTGAGTGGGAAGGAACGTGCCTCCCGCCTGCCCATCTGCCCACCCTCTTCCTGCACACTCTGAACCACAGACTGAAGGAGGGCAGCACCTGGGCCTGGGAGCCGGGGCAGCTGGTCAGTGGTTGTGGCAGTTCTACATCCAGTGCCTGGCCACAAAGGCTTCCGATGAGATGCAGGTTGTCCCAGCCCTGAGCGGCCTCCTCTGCTGAGAGTGCCAGAGCCAGCAGGCAGCCCTAACACCACCTTTCACAGGCTGGGGGCTGGAGAGGGGAAGCAGCTTCTTGGCAGTGACACCAGGTAGCTGTGGCAGCACCAGACACAGGTTCCCATCCCCAGAGCCACCAGTTGGGATGGGCAGGACTCCTGGTCCTGGCCTGGGTGGAGGGCGTCTGGATGAATCAGCATCTCAGGACCTCCTTCTCCTAGTTTAATTATTCTTGCTACCTACATTCCCCATGCCTACTCCTCCCCCACCACAGAAACCCCTTCTGGTGTTTGACATTGTGTCTTTATTCAAACTGTGAAATGCGCATTAACCTGTTTTTAATTCGTATAAACAGTATTGATGTAAACCTCCCTCTGCTCCTTGTTTTTGAGACTGGGCCATCCTCAGTGGCCGGCTGGGCCCTGCCTTCTCTCTGCTGGTCAGTGACGTGCACTAGCTCATCCACTCCTTGCAGGAGCCTCGGGGATTCTGGATGGTGGGGTGGGGTGGAAGCCCAGGCCCCAGGCTAAGCCTCATCTCTCACCTCACAGCCCTCGGGCTTGCTGCTGCAGTTCAGTGAGGAAATGGAACTGGGGCAGGTGTTTCACCGCAGTCACCCTGTTGTATGTGGCAGAGCCGGATTTGGCCCCAGGGCTGTGACTCCCAGGTCCAAGCCCTGTTCTTTCTGGCATGGCTGCAGTAGGCGTTGTCAGTGCTGGAAAGAGTAGAGACAATGCCCCACACCCCCAGCACTGATAAGAAACAAGAGAATAATAAAGAACGGGAGAGGAGTCACGGAGAACATATACAGTCACTGCGGACTCCTCTCAGTGGCCAGAGTACCTTACTAGGTTAAAAATGTCACTATGGAATATGAAAAATGATTCTTAGGTACAAATGATAACGTTAAAGGTAAAGCCATCTTCCTAAAAAGAACTGGAAATCAAAAATGAATAGTCCTCTGTATGGGATTGCAGAGAACCGAGGCGGCAGGAGCCTAGAAGTTACATAGGGTTCACTGTCCTATTTGCAATGTGGATGTTTTCCATATAAAAAGGAAACAATGCACACCGCATCAACCTTACCTAAAAATAGGAAATGCAGGTGGATTCCTGTTGCAGTCTAGTGCAGCCCTGTGGCCATTCTTGGCTGCTTAGAGGGGCTCCAGGGACACGTGAGCGTGAGGGGAGGCACCTCTTCTGGGGGGCAGCAGGCTCAGGGCTGGGTGCAGCGCACCCTAGGTGGGGTCACTGGTGCTGGGGTACAGGATGAGCAAGACTTCAGCAGGGGTAGTGAGTACAGTGTCCTGGCAGGAACTGACCCGTGGAGGGCTGAGGGCAGTATGACTGGAGCCCCGGGGTAGAGGCCAAGGCCAGGCTGAGGGGAGGCCCTGAGGCCACGTTAAAGGGTGTCCTGTCCTCATAGGCTGAAGGAGAACTACATTTTGCTGAGCACAGATGGCCCTGGAAGGAACGTCCTGAAGTTTAAGCCCCCGATGTGCTTCAGCCTGGACAATGCACAACACGTGGTGGCAAAGCTGGATGCCATTCTGACTGGTGAGCCTGGAGCCTGAGGAGCAGCTGCCCATGTCTCTAGAACCTCCCAGCATGCACCAGGGAGTGGGGGAGAGCCCAACAGCTGGGTCAGGGAGCATTAAGTGCAAGTAGACTGGGCCCTGCCTGGCCTGGGCCTTTTCTATTGCCGAGCCCCAGGGAGGTGGGAGCTGAGCCACCACGCAGGCTGCCTGGGCAGGCAGCAGACAGCGTGGGACCCAGGACAAGGGCAGCCAAAATCCCAGTACTTGTCCTTATAGCTACCCAGGGATGCAGGTGGCAGAAGCCTCCCTCCATACTTGAGGTTAGGGCCACCCTTGGCTACTGAGTGGCTGAAAGAAGATTTGTACCAGTAAGAACTGATTGAATGCAAAATGAAATTCCTCCCCACATTCCCAATCACCTAGGATGGTCCTGGTTGGCCCAGGGTCTCCCATAAATTCACTTTAAGGCAATCTCTTAATTACCAAACTGGACATGGCTGTGTGCTGAGGTACATACAGAGCTCAGTGAGACCCCAAATAGGCAAAATCGTATCATGGCAGGGACCAGATTTCCCTCCCACCTCTAGGTACTTCACTGCCACCCACGGATGGGCTTAGAACCAGGGCTCTGGAGTGGGGGAGGCCCAGTCCCTGCCAGACACCATCGGAGGTGGTGGGGTGCAAAGGCAGGCCATACACCTGGCTAGGGTTTCTGGACAGGGCCCGTGAGTCCTGGGAAAAGGGAGGGCTGGCTCCATGCTCTCAGGAAGTTGTCTATGGGCGAGGGTTGGGGTGGGGGTGGGACTGAAGGCATCATGTCTTCGGCAGAGAAAGGTGAGTTCTTTGTGGTCTTTTCTAGACATGGAAGAGAAGGTGAGAAGCTGTGAAACACTGAGGCTCCAGCCCTGAACCAGCCCTGCTCAGTCGAGTGTCCTCCAGGTGAGCAGGCCTTGCCTCTTGCTCTGAGACCCAGAGCCAATTCCTTAACCATCAGCACCCTCAGCAAGCTCAACCTTATTTTTCTTCAACATGTTTTTTCTGATTGAGGTCCGCTTCCCAAAAGCTAGCTTCAACTAACAGTGGGAGGCTCAGCTACCCCGGCTGTTGTCTACTCATCCCACCAAAACACTGAGCTTGCTATGCTAACAGAAGCAGCTACTTCCTCATTCAGCTCCTCCTTGGGGTGAGAAAAGACAAAACTTGTGAGGCGGCCATGGCCACGGCCACTTGGAGCCACCAGGCTTGGAGTGCTCAAATTCAGCCAGTTAATAACCCTGCCAGAGCAGGCCTGTATGTGCCAGCCAGGACAGGGCACTGTCATGCCCCCTGTTCAGCTGGCCCCTGGCATTGCCCTAGTCTGAGTTCACATTGTCCTGCTGGAAGAGACAAATCTCATTTTTATTGGTCAGTCCAGACAGTCTGGTGTTCAGGGCTGAGAGAAGCATGCCTGCTGGGGTCCCCCACCATCTTCACCCCCTAACAGCTGTCTTTTTTAGGAGGCATTTTCCTTCACTAAAGGGGGCTTATGTGCTGGGCAGGGTGGTCACTCAAGGAAGCTAGCCAAGGATGTGGGGCGCGTGTGGTTTTGCCTGATAGGATGCTGTTAAGAGATCATGGAGGATATGGACTCAGTAAGTGGCAGCTCAAAAAGGTCAGTGGCCAGGTCCTTCTATCCGAGCTGCACCCCCACAACTGTGCCTGCAGCTGAAGGAGCCTGCTGTGGGAGAAGGCCCTAATCCCAGGACACCCGGCACCCCCCACTCTGGGCAAGAGGTCTCACACAGCAGATCCCACATTCACCCAGGCTTGGGGTTTTTTTAAATTTTTATTTCAAAAGCTTGGATAGCTTCAATATCCAGGTCGTGGCAAAATCAGGACACGTGTAAAATACCTTACAATACATTAGATTCCCAAAAGGTACCAAAAAGTACAGTAAAATTAACACTTCCATTACAGGAAATGTATGACACAAATAATATAAAATTAAAAGGTGAAAAAAAGGTGACACTGGTTTCCTAAGATACAGTTTACTCTTTACAACCAGGGTCCACAGGTCCAGGCAGCAGAGAGGCAACGGGAAGCAGACCCTCCAATCTGGTTCTGGGTAACCTGGTAATAAAATCAGCCCGTAATGCCGCTCTGGGCTCTGAGACACCACACGCTGCCTAAAACAACTAGAGCTCTGGAAATAGTAAACAGGAGAGTGATTTCCGGGGGGCAAATTTTAAATAAGATGCATATGGGACAGGCCGTAGAAAGTTTGCCAAGTTAAATTTGGTACATAATTGTGTTCACTCCATATCCAAACAAAGCATGTGCGGTCAGTTGGTCGCGTGCCGCCGCCTCAGTATGGCTTATAGTTATTCTGATGGCCACCACGTCGCTGGCTCTTGCCGTAGTTTGTACTACCCTGACCTAGGGGACAAAAACAACAGTAGCAGCTAGTACTTACTGAGCATTCACCCTGTGCCAGGCGCTTGACATGCATCTTCGCAGGGTCCTCAACTGCCCTGGTCCGGGCAGGGATTACCTTCCCCACCTTACCAAGGCCCACAGCTAGAGCTCAAAACCAGGTAGCTCCAGTGGCGGAGCCAGGCCTGTCTGACTCCAAAGCCCCTGCTGCCAGTGGCTCCTGTACTCTCTGTCCTGCCTCCCCTGGGTGGATAAGCGATGGGGCCTCCCTCTCTCCTACTTACTGTAGTCGTAGCCGGGGCCGTAGCCGTAATAGCCATAGGGCGAGTAGTCGTAGCCGCCATAGCCGGGCCCGTAGCCCTGCTGATAGCCGTAGCCCTGGTTCCAGTAGTTGCCGTAGCCCTGATTCCAACTCTGACTCTGACCTGTGGGGGGAGCAGGGCACAGGGGCCCATGGACCATTTAGCGCACGAAGGAGCTAGGATGGAGGAAATCCTGCCCTTTGGGTGGCGGGGTTACAATGGCAACTCAAGCAGAAACCAGGGCGCTGCTGTTCTGATATAGAGGGGCCTAGGCCCGGCCCTGCATCTGAGAGACCCAAGCAGAGGATCAGAGGCCAGGATGCTAACTTCACTCAGGGCAAACAAGGCAGCTCACTCACTTAAATCACCCTCTGGTTGACCCCACCCTCCCTGGCAGCTTGGCCTTTAAAAAGATGCAGTTCAGGCTTTGGAGTCAGAGGGGCCTGGGATGGAAGGAGGTAAGCGCCTGGCACAGCTCTGCCCTATCCTTCTGCCCACTGCCCACGGTGTGCCAGACTCAGAGGATACCCACAGAGCCAAGACACCCTATCATGTCCCCTGCCCAGAATGCAATGCAAATGCTCCCTCTTGCCTTGGGCCCCCAAAGCCACATGAGTAAGAAAGACAGGGCTCTTCCATTCCAAGGGACAGCAGCAGCACAGCCTCAAGCACACAGCCTTGACCCAGGAAAACCAAGCCTACTCCCTGCCTGCCCACCCCTGCTGCACAGCACCAGAGGGAGCCCCAAGACAGGCATGGAAGGCTCCATGCAGGCAGAGAAATGGGACCCGTCTTCATCCAGGTTCTCTTCATCCAGGTTCCACTCACCTCCACCGCCACCACCACCGCCGCTGCCTCGGTTCCCCCGGTTGCGGTTTCCACGGCCCCCAGAGCCATACTGCTGCTGCTGATAGACCTCTTTGGGCTGAGCCACCTTGATTTCACACTAAAAGCCGAGAGGACAGTGGGTCAAGCCAGTGGAGCAAGCTCAGGACAGGGACTGTGCACGAAGACATGCACTGCAACAGTCAGGAGATAAGGTCCATTTGCTCAAAAACACACATGCTGGGGTAGGAGACCACGTTTGGGCTAGAAGCTCTTGGAACCACAACTAAAACCAGAGGCCCTTCTGATGAGAACCTTTCCTGGGGATGGATGATCTCAACCCCAGGGCAGCTCCACGTCTGTCTGAGAGAGGAACAGCTGGCACCACCTTGGTCCTACTGGGCAAGAGGGTCAGACAAGACTGCTCAAATGAGGGGCCTTAGATAAGAAGGTGGTCCTTACATGTTTTTCTTTTTTTACAGAAATTCATCTCACCCAAATACTCTGTTGAGAAGGTGACCCTGACCTCCATCTTGCAGATAAAGCTCTGAGGCTCAGGGTGCATGAGGGTACCCACACCCTCCTCCACTGGTTTGCTGTTGGGGTAGGCCAGATGTCCACATCTCCCCAGGTCCCAAAGAGTCAATTTCCTTTTGGCCCAAAAATCTGCCCACTGAGGGCAGGATGGGAACGGGGACTGAAGTACTCCTGCTTAAATACATCCCAACACTGTATTTTTAAACAAAGTCCCCTGATACACACTCCCATTAAACATAACACATTTTACATTGTATCCCCACATAAACATAAGCCTTTAATTGGCAAATTACCCCTACCAAGTGATACAATCTGATGTTTTCTATCATACTGAATTAAAAACATGAATACAACCAACTAAATATACTTATTTCTAGGACTACCAGCAGTTTTACTTAAGCCCCACCTTAGAGGCTCTTCCCATCCATTTCCCATTATCGCACACACAAAAAAAGGCCTCTCTGTATCACTGTCCACTGGAGTACCAACTAATGCCTCACTTGACTGCCCCGGAATTTTCTGTTACACTTAAGGGCCTAATCCTAATCCAATCTTTCCAAACTCTCAATCTGGATGGAGGCTTCCAGGAGCCCCACCCTACCTGTGCCACCTTATCTGGCTGCCAAGTCCTACACAGACACAGTGCTTGCCACACCCTGCCACAGCAGGCCACACCCTCCACTCTAACTGCCAGCTTAAAGCCTTAACTACCTTCTCCCTGACCAGAGTCCAGGGTAGAGCTGCACTTCTCACTGCACAAGACTCCACTCATTTGAAAGCACAACTGGCCTTGGATTTAAGCAGGCCAGGACCCTGGAAGCTCTCTGGGAGGGATCTTGCCCTGAGGGTAACATTGATTAAGCAGTGCCCAAGGGGATGGAAAAGGACAAGAAATGTGGTTGTAGAGCCCCTTCCCAACCCTGCTCCCTTCTCCAAAACAAACAAAATCTGGTTATAGAAAAAGGCAGAAAAATCCTGGAGCAAGAAAAACCTTCACCATAGAGGCAAATCAGTGAGTTGCAGAAGTTCTAGAATCTTTTGAGATCTTAGCTGGGGGCCTAATACACCCAGGACTCTAAGATCTAGAACACTGTCACCTCTAGCTTTAAATCAGAAGCCAAAGAGGCCACTCAGCACGCTCTAGTGACAGAGGCCACCTTTCCTCTCCTGTCTCCCCGCACATCCTGTATATTTACTGGCAGTCCTCCCAGCCTGGGAGCTCTTTGAAGGACGGCAACACTGTACAGGGCAGCATACACTACACAGAAACAGTAAGGTCTGGCTAACCTGGAGAACCCTCGCTCCAGGTGGCCCAACCCCTAACCCACACCAGCAAGGGCCAGCTCTCCAGTAGCAGGAGGCCAGGCACACAGAGCTAGGGACCTTACCTTGCTTCCACTGACAGTATGGAACTTTTTTTCCAGAACCTTCTTCACAGGTTCTTCTTCTTTAAAGGTGATAAACACAAAACCTCTTCTCTTGTTCAACTTTGGATCCATTGGAAGCTCAATGGCCTCAATCTGCAAAAAGCATAGGCAAACCTCAGGACCACTACCCCCAACCCCAGGGTATACAGGAAACTCACAGGAGAAGAGACCCACTAAAGGCCAGAGAGGGTGAAAAAGCAGCCCTGCCCAGGGCGCCAGGCAGCCACCGGGCAGCGGGCAAGTCACTCCAGGAGCCACACACTCACCTCCCCAAACTCTCCAAAGTACTCCCTGATCTTTTCCTCCGTAGCTTCAGGATTCAGACCCCCCACAAAGATTTTCTTCACCGGATCCTTCTTCATAGCCATGGCCTTTTTAGGATCAATGACACGGCCATCCAGCCTGTGCTCCTTCTGGTCTAGGACCTGTTGCAACAGAAGAGGAACAGGTTCTAACTCAGCAGCATGACCTGGACAAGGCCCTTCTCTCTGAGCCATAAAGACAACAAAAGACACCAGCACAGACACACAAATGCATTTCATCCCCTCAAATTTCTACCCCAGCTTGACTTCCCAACCCAGTTTTCTTCAAATCCCAAGTGTAGCTGGTTTGCCTCAACATCTATAAATCAGTCCTCATCCCTGAGCCTTTGCCCATGCGATGTGCCCTTCTTCCTGCCAAAGCAGTCCCAGCTTAAGGCCCATCCATCTACGGAAACAAGCAAGAGGAATTCAGAACCCAGGCTGGAGGCAACTGCTGGGGATGGAACCCTCACTCCACCCTTACTATGTGATCTCCTCTACTTCAACTTGGCTGGGCCTTAGGTTTTTGGTTTTCCTGTAAAATGGGGCTAAATGCCCAACTCATAGCAATCTTGGCTTCTTTTCTAATCTTCACAATAACATATTCAACACAGTGCCCAGAACAGGCACATAAAAAGGTAACGGAGGTAAACTATGACCTTCCTGAACCACCCCAGCCCATAGTCTCACTCCCAACTTCATCTATATTTTTATCTTTCAAAAACAGGAACTTAATTTCTAACCTGCTTTTCCCAAAGCACTCAACCACACACAGAGCACACAAACTCGGTATCCTGTTATAATTCCAATCGTCTCCACCAAGACTGCTGATTTACAGTACCCAGCTTACCTTCTCCACACTGGCTGCGTCTTTGAAGAGGATAAATCCAAACCCTCTTGACCGTCCAGTGTTGGGATCCATTTTTATCGTACAGTCAACGACCTCCCCAAATTTAGTAAAATAGTCTTTTAAATCTTTTTTGCTGGTATCCCAACTTAGGCCACCGACAAACATTTTCCTGAAATGGTAGGATGAGACACATGGCAACAAGTCTTATTATAAGCTGTGATCTCAGGAAGGAATGGCCCTCGCAAAGCTTTCGCTGAAAAGCTTACAAAGCCACTGTCCTTGAAGACAACGTCTACAGCCCCCTTAGAGTCTGCATCGTTGAAGGATGTCAAAGCTCCACTACCCTTCAAACTCAACTCAACCTGAACCCTAACGCAGCTTAACAACACTGTGAAGCCCCAGGCTGTGCAAGAGAAAGGAAGGACAACCTCGCCAGGGCCCACTTGACTGCTCACAGCTGGAAATTCAGGCGTGCCACAACCATGTTTTCGAAAGGCGTCTTCCCTACCTCCCGAGAACTCTTTTCAAGGAACTTGAGATTTCCTGGGGCCGAGACCGCCCTGGGTTCAGACCATGACTCCGCCCCTCGGCAGGAGGCGGGAGGCCCGGGCCCGGGCGCGCGCCAACTCCGCCCACGCAGCCCCGGCGCAGCCCCAGACTCGCGGCGCCCCGGGTCCGAGCGCTCCCCTTCTTCCGGGCCGCCCGCCCCGGCGCCTACCCCGGCCCCGGCCGCGGCCCTGGCCCTGGCCCTGGCGGCGCGCTAGCGGGCCTGGGGCGGCGCCAAAGTCGACCCAACAAACTCCTGCGAACTGCAGAGCGAACGGCGGCGCGCGAGCCGGCCGGCCAGGCGCGGGGACCGGTCTGCCCGCCGCCCGCAGGCCCCGCCGGGCCGCCGCCCCTCCCCCCGCCGCGTGGCGCCAACAAAAGGCGGCCCCGGAACAAAGGCGGCGCCCCCGGCCGCACCTACCCCGCGTCCTCCTCGTTTTTGCTGGCGTTGATCTGGTCACCCTCGGCGCCGTTCTGATTCCCGCTCGGGGGCGCCGCGGTCCCGCCTCCAGCCCCCGCCACGGCCCCGGTCGGCGACTCGCCTTCGGCGGCGGCCTCGTGTCCGTTCTCGGTGGCGCCGGTCGTCTCCATGGGCTGCTCCTCACCGGCTTCCGACATACTAGGCCGAGGCACGGCGGCTCCTGCAACGAGTGGCCACACGCGGCGATAGCGCGTCAGGCCGGCGCGACTCGCGCTGGCGCTCCCGCCCGCCGCCCGCCGCCCGCCGCTCGCCGCTCACCTCGCCGCCGATGACGCCGCGCGGCCCGCTCGTCCCCACCCGCCGGGGAAGGCTCCGCGGGCTCGGCCGCACTCGAGCCTGCGCTGCTGGGGCCTCGCCTCCGTCCGCCAACGGAGCCGCTCCGACCGCGCTCCCGCCTCCTTGGCCGCCGCAGCACAGAACCCACCGACCCCAAGCCCACCCCGGGCTCGCGCGATGCAGCCGCCTGACAATGCCGACTCGTGGCGCTCTTTATAATGCTGGGGGCCGGGAGACACCTCGCAACAAAACGCATGTTGATTGGCTGAGCCAGCCCGTCACTCAGCCCTGTGCCGCTGTCCCATTGGTCAAGACGGCGCGCGCATAAAGATCCGGGCGGGCTTTGTCCTCATTTTAGAACCCGCGCGAGTCAGGGCCCTGCGAAGGGTTCCTGAGGCCAGGCGGGGAGATGTGTCTTGAGCGATCAGTAGCCCCAGCCTAGCAGCGGGCGGGCCCGAGCTGGACCCTCCTCTCTCTAAGGCAGCAGCCTCTCGCCCTGGTGCACCCCATCCCAGCATTGGCGGCCTTGGCCCCCCCATTTCCCAAAAGAGGAAACTGGAGCCGAGGAAAGTCTCCCAGCCCAAGGTCGCCCCGCTGGAAGTGGCAGATCCCGGGCTTCCAAGATGGGGCGAGTGGGGTCCTCCAAGTCTTCCTCAGCACGGGTTAGAGTGATCGGAATGGAAGCCACCGTCCTTAACGTTGCTGCCCTTTTGATCGCCTTCCCCAGAGACCGGGGGGTGGGGGGTTCACCAGGTGTCTGGTGCCAATGGTGTTTCTCAATCTTAGGTCGCTCCGCACCGCCTTGAAAATTAATGTTGCATTTACACTTTCGTTTACTCAAAATTTTTCCTTTGAGTTAATTCCTTTGTTTTTGTTGAAACTTATTTTTAACCAAAATATATCACTCGTGTAACCATAAGGTTTTTGGAGAGTTTGGCAGGGAGGGTGGCTAGTTCTCTCTTCCTAATCCACAAAAATACAAAATATATTATTATATTTATATCTCCTTGATCACCAAACTTGAAAGTCCTGGGTAATCTCGTGATTCCTTTTAATCATATGGGTGGCAGCCCCCAAACGGATGTGGATTACAACCTACGAAGCCCAGGCATTAACCAAACAGCAGCACAGAACACAAGTGGCTAACATTTCTCCCTGGCTTCCTGCAGCCAGGCCCAGTGTGGCAGCCAGGCGTTCTGTTTTCTCTTCTTGTGTCCTAACAACCCCATAGGAGGTGGTAACATCACCAATTTTAGATGAGAAAACTGAAGCCCAGATTGGTGGCCCAGGAGAACTCCACCTGGCCAGCAGAGTTGCCTTCAGGATGAAAAATGTTTCACGTTTTGAAAAAATATTTTCAGACTTTTTTAGAAAAATCTGAAGATTTAGCCACCCTGCACTGCCTTTCCCCCAGGGCAACAGTCAACTAGAACTGGGG